TTGAGGGGAGCTCATCTTTTGCTTTATTGAATGCCCGTTTGGGATCACGTGAATATTACAGTTTTCATCTTTCATATATCCAGCTGATAAACACAGCTTTGATCTGCATACCCTGCATATTCATGATAGGGTAAGACAAGAAATCCATAGGCGTGCGATGAAAGAACATTCTTCCGTAACTGGAAACAAAAGAACCCGATCTCATCAAAGCGATGCTCGTTCAGAAGTTGGTGAAGTGTAATATTCTGTTGCATGAATTTACCAGTCTTGGAGAGTTGAGAAGTATAGAGTTCAGTTGAACAGAAACGAAATACTCCTGGGGGGAGGGAGGGAGCGGGTGCTGCGTTTTGTCCTGGAAGGACCCATAGGAAGAGCGTGTCTGTCCGGCCGGGGTGGAGACATTTACAGGTGTGACCACGTTGCCATGTAACGGAGGTCGGATGTGTAAATCTCTGAGCACTCGTGGGAGGTGAACGTACCTGCAGTGTGTGAAGTGAAAGGCGTGAAGTGGCCGTATTATTTTGTGGTGACGGGTCTGGCGATGGCCGCGCGCTTTATACCATGAAACTCTCCTGGTAGCAAACGGCCCACGAGAAATGATTTTTTCTTTCTAAGATTTCTATAAATGGTACCATTATTATTTGTTAAATCTATGTAAATTCATATTTGTATTCTTGAAATTCTAGTTTTAGCCCTTTAAACAAAGTTGTATATTGTCTCAAATTGAAAATGAGATAAGATGTATTTTTCCTGTTAGGTTTTATACCGCACTCTCGATGTCTGCCCATTTTTAAGTTAAATATAGCTGTATGGAAAAGTACATTTTATTAAATTTTGCATTAAAAAGTGAAATGTTTATGGTATACCAACACCGTCTAATTTGGTCAAATGCAGTTCTCTTCCAAAGCCAAAGCCTAAGGGTTGATGGGGTTTTTTTCTTGCATATTTAGTACAACTTCAAGTGCTGGCAACTGTAACTATTCTCACATATACCTGCTTACCAGTTTGGGGGACAATTTGGCAATTCTGTGGTTACAAAACTATGGTTCTCTTTAAGTGCCAGTGTTTAAAAGGAGCAAAAAAAAGAAAAAGAAAAAAAAAAAAAAAAAGCAAAAAAAAAAAGCATTCTTGTAATTTTACACGCTTTTGTGATGGAGTATTGTTTTGTTATACGATTTTGACTTTCAGATTCTTATTTCAATTTGCATTTATGTATAACTTCAGGAGAAATATTGAACATCTGAATCCTGGATGATACTAATAAACTAATAATTGCAGAGGTTTTAATACTTAGTTAAGTGGCTCACTTAATATCCTGAGGGATTTTATTTCTTTGCGTTGGTATTTTCAGATACGTTTATGTCCCCGCTTTCTGTTTCAAACAGAAGGAAGATGCTCTTCAGAAGACTGTGATGCAGAACACCCAGGACAGATGAGTTCTGTTTTCTTTTTAATTGGGTATTGCCCATCTAAATGAGCTGATGACGTAAAGTTTCAGTGCTGAAGGGCTTTGTGTTTCTCTCATCGAAGGTGGAAAGTAGATGGGACAGGTTGCCCAAGGAGGCTGTGGATGCCCCATCCCTGCAGGCATTCAAGGCCAGGCTGGATGTGGCTCTGGGCAGCCTGGTCTGCTGGTTGGTGACCCTGCACACAGCAGGGGGTTGGAACTGGGTGATCTTTGTGCTCCTTTACAACCCAGGCCATCCTGTCATTCTGTGATTCTTGTTCTCGGAACAAGCATACGTAAGGGGGTCCCTTAGCCTTGTGCCTCAGTTTGCACAGATTTGCTGGACGTTGATAAAAGCTACGTAGAGGAGCCTTAAAAGATGAGTGGCAGTGCTTACAGCCGGGCGTAGAGCTTGCCTTCATCTCAGGGCTTAGCAGCCAAGACAGGGTGTGCTCGAGGCTGAAGGCCAGGAGGTGTTCCCTGTGCTGCTTTCTGAGGAGGAGAACCACCACCAACCTGCAGGGGCTGAGGGTGGCAGAGGGGTGTGTGACGTTCTGGAGGGAGGCCAGGGTTTTCTCATGAGTGCTTGGTAGGTGCCTGTAAGTCCTTTGAGCTTGCGCATGAGAGATTGGGCATGGGTTGTGTCGCCTGGAAAGCTCTATTGAAATACTGAAGCCATTACACCTGGGGGAAAATCCCATCATTATTTGGAGGAATTCTGTTAAAATACAAGTTGCTGAGAGCTATCACTGGAGGGCACCTCACTGTTCTGCATACCCGTGAGCTCCAGAGCAGCAGCATCCTGGTAGTAGAAGCTCAGCCTGACGGTTGGCAAGCTCGACTACTACAAGATTACTTGACCTGAGGTCGCTTCATGCTGGCAGTTTCACCCAAATCTGCCTCTGGGTCATCTCCAACTGTTGGTGCCTGCGGAGGGATAACGAGTGCCCTTTGCAGCCATTTAGGCAGCGGTTCTGTAGGAGGGGGCTGGACAACGCTGGCATCACTGTCACAACAGAAAGCATTTTCTAAAAGCTTCAACCTTCAAAGAAACGTGCATTGTAAAGGGCAAAAAGATCCTGTTGCAAACAAGAAATGGGATTGGTTTAGTAAGAACTGGAATGTTGGTGAGGGGTAGTTCTGAGCTGGAGCCACGAGAGGAGATGCGATCGTAGGCACCGGCTTTATAGCAGTTACAGTTTCAGACTGGATGTAGGGAAAGCACTGATCCCTTCTGCAGTGCTGTCAGTGGTCCCACGGGTCTGGGGAAAACCTGAGCTGGTGCAACAAAACGCCTCTGGGAGATGGACCACTGGAAACCTGAACTAAGAGGCACCGAGTGGCTGCAGGGATTTCTGCGGCGTCGCTGCGGTGATGCTGGCACTGCTGGCCGAAGCTGTGTGGTGATGCTGGCACTGCTGGCTGAAGCTGTGTGGTGATGCTGGCACTGCTGGCTGAAGCTGTGTGGTGATGCTGCCAGCCACGTGCCGCATCTGTGCTGCTGGGTGAGGAACAGCTGCCTGGGCTGCGAGCAGGGACTGAGGAGAGTTGCTGTCAGGCTGCGGCGGCAGCGTGGGCTTCTTCGTATGGCTGGCGAGCGAAGCTGAGCAGAACTTCCTTCGTCTTCACTGCCCTAAGGGTTAAACCTGCGAGTTCACTCCTGCCTGCCTTCCCAGCAAGGCTCAGAGGAAGATTAAGGGCATAAAGCCGCTGCGCTGCGTTGGACTGTAATACGTCATTCAATACCAAATCTGTAACGGAGACATGGCAAAATACAAAGGTGGTATTTAATACAAGAGGTGATTAATTTTCACCGTTTCCAGGGTCTGCCCACAGCAGCCGACCAGTGAAAGGCATTCAGGTCATAAACGCACTCATCATTTATTAATGGTGGTAGCAATCCAAGTACATCCAAACGCTATTCCTTGGCTATAGCCTTTAGTTTGCCATCATGCTGTACTTCAGTAAAGGCCACGCAGCGCATCGTTTGGCCTCTGCTTTAAAAGAAAAGTGTGTGGCATTTTGCTTTGGTAGGCTGGGGTGGGCATGGTCTTGGCCTCTGAAAGATGGGAAGGGGCGTTTTACAAACGAGTGCAGTACAATGCCACAGTGTGGGCATTCCTTAATAAACTCCGTGCCCTACAACTGAAAAAACACTCTGAGGCAGTATTATTCACACAGTTACTCTAATGATTTCCCTTTAGAGGAACAGCACTGCTTATTTCACTACAGCGTAGCTAAATTTGAGTAAAGCCCGTGCAAAGCCTATCTCCAGAAGGTTTGTACTGTTTTGTAACACTGTCTCCTGTGCTGTGTATGTTGTGCCCCCCTGGATTTCCTTTGCCAGCACCTCAAACAGAAAATCAAAGAGGGATTTTGGTCCCAATGGATTTGCTATTATGAATGAAGGTCAGATTGTTCTTACGGCTGCTTTGTGCTGCTGAAAAATACAGCGCAGGTTGTTTTGAGAGCACCTAATTCTGAAATCCATCTTGCTGAAGTGATTGCTGGTAGAGGTGACCTGCAAGAGAGACAAGTCTTCCCTTGTGCAGCTCTACAATGGAATGAAAGCCGTCGGCTGCACGTGAGCTTGGTCTGCCTGTTGGCTACCCCAGAAGATGGAGCTTTGCCTTTGGAGGTGCATCCAACTGTGCAGTGAGACGGCGGAGCAAGGAGATGGCAAGAAAAGGAAACGGGCACTTTTAGTTACACCTTGAAAATTTCTGCTTGCAGCTTTAAAATATACTTGACTTAAACGAGCAACTTTTGGCACAGAGGAAATTCATCCTAATGATTCCAGCAGCCTTTCATCTGTAAGGTGGCAAAAGCTCAAAGAACACGTTTCTGACCTCCCAAAAGTTCTTCAAGAAAAACAGGAAAGACCAAACTCTACAGCTTGAATGTCTGGAAAGGACCCAGCTCCCTGTATGCCTTACGGCAGCGAGAGGTCACGGCTCCAAGGCTGCTTGGAAGACGCCTTCCAGAAAGTCACGCTTACGAAGTGGACACCGAGGACTGGCGCTGCGATGCTTGCTGTGTTTGCTATGGAGAGTGAAAATAACACCTAAGAAATGAGCAGGAACACATTGCACCGCCCCGGTGCTCTTGAAATCGAAGCGTAAGAAGGAAACGGGACCGATGCCAGCCTGTGCTCCTGGAGAACGGGGCTGGGAGAGGTGAGGGCATCGCTCTGCTGAGCCAGGGAGGAGGGCAGCAGAACTCTGCTGCTTTCATGTTGCCTGCAAACTGCTGGCTGCCACAATGGAGCGAGCTCCTGCTTGTGCCCATTCAGGGTGTTTTCCCCCTGGTCAAAGCATCAGGCAGCAAGAACCAAAAATGCAAGGGGTGCAGCACGGTGCTGGGTGGCAGATAAGGATCACTGGCTCAGTAAAAAGCAAAAATCGCAGCTCTTTTTTCAGAAAGAAAATGAAATCTAAGATGTATGTGGTGATGATTTTAGAAGAGATAACTTGTATAAATGTGGGTTAGCAAATGATTGAACAACGGTTGACTCATGTTTTATGATCAGACCTGACTGTAGCAGTGTTTTGTTGACACATTTGTAGCAATACCTTCTCATGAGGATGATCCCACATGCAGGCATTATGTTTGAAAAACCAATACAGTAAATGCAGGTGAGGATTCATCAAAGTCTGAGCTCTTTAGAATGGAAGCTTTAAGCACAGACTTGGTGGAAGGGTTTGGTTTTGCTCTATAAACTGCTGATGGCAAAGGGCTGGTGGCTGTCTGCCCCCAGGGTGGGCCAGCGGGGCTGCAGTGTGTGCACTGTGCGGCCCTCTGGTGAGTTGGACACTGCCTCCAGTTCTGTGCCATCCATGAGTTCTTGAGGATGCCCTCTGTCCCATCATCTGGATCGTTAAAGATGTGAAACAGACTGGACCCAGTAGTGACCCTGGGACACTCTGCTTGCTGCTGGCCTCCAGACAGGCTGCACCTCTCACCAAGACCCTCTGGGCCCAGCCATTCAACTCATTTTTGATCCACCTCTCTTTCTGCTCATCCAGCCCATACTTCAACAGCTTCTCTCTGAGGATCTTACTGGAGATGGAGTCAAAGACCATACTGAAATCCAGGGAGACAGTATTCACTTTTCCTCCCCATCCAGGAGGCTGATGATTTCATTATAGAAGCTTATCAGGTTGATCAGGCACAGCTTCTTCTTGGTGAATCCACTCTGGCTATTCCTGATGTTTTTCTTCTCTTTCATGTGCCTGGAAATGGTTTTCAGGGTGAGCTGCTCCATCACCACCCCAGGGACTACGGTGGGACTGACCAGCCAGCCATTCTCCAAGTGCTCCTTCTTGCCCTTTTTGAAGACAGGAGTGACACTTACTTTTCTCCAGCCTTCAGGCACATCTCCCAGTTACCACGATTGACCAAAGATTATAGAGAACGGCCTCACAATCACATATGGGTGCATTTGGTCAGAGCCCATGACTGGAAGATGTCCATGGAGAAGGTGATCCTTGAATGCTAACCAGCTCTCTTGGGCCTCTCCTCCCTGCAGGGCCTTACCCCACAGGACTACCCAGCAGATCCTTGGAGAGGCCCAAGTCTGCTCTACAAAGGTTCAGGGTTGTGAGCTGGCATTTATCGCTCCTCCTTGCTCTTGGGATCCCAACCTCCTCCATTTTGTGGTCACAACAGCCAAGATTGCCTCCATCCTCCACATCCCCAGCGAGCCCCTTGTTGCTGGTGGCCACAAGGTCCTCTCCTTTTGGTTCCTTTGTCGCTTGGAGGAGGAAGCTTTAAGAACACTCCAAGAACCTCCTGGTTTGCTTATGTCCCATGTGGACTGGTGGCACCGGTCGGCCACCCTCACCCTTGTCCCTTTATCTCCTGCTCCTACTTGTGTGCTGCTGTTTTTCCATCTGAATCATTTATCATGGCCTAGGAGCACAGCAGAGCTGTGATTTGCGCTGAAGCCGCCAGCCTGCAGGAAACAGCAGGGCTCTAAGAAAAGGGAGGCTCCGGTTACAACTTCCCTCTTACTTACTGCTCCTGGCAGCACAGAAGCAGAACTGCTGTGAATGAGATGGAGCCTCAACCACGTGCATCCCTGAGACACAAACACAGGCTGTGAATCCCGCAGTACCGCTCCATCCCTGCTTATGAATCCTCCCCGAGATGCCTTGGCTTTAAGGAGCACACGCAGCTTTCCTCCTAAAGCCAGCCAGCTGCACTGGTTTTGTCTCCTGCTCCTATTGCACCCACAACCTCTCTGGGCAGCCTGTGCCAGCGCCTCACTGCCCTCTGAGTAAAGAATTTCACCCCGACATCTAAGCTATATTTCCCCTCTTTTAGTTTAAAGCCATTCCCCCTTGTCCTGTCACCATCAGACCATGTAAAAGCAACTCCTCCTGCTGCTTGTAAGCTCCCCTCAAGTCCTGGAAGGCTGCTTGTTGGTGTACAGGCGTTTGGAGGACTTTGGTCAAGCAAAACGTGGGGCAACACTGTGTAAGCAGGGATGCATAACATTATTCCTGTTGCCTCAGATGCATTCTTTTATACAGAAAAGTTGTTCTGTGAGTGTGGATAGGCCTGTTTTTGGGGTGCCGGTCCCACACGTGGTGTGCAGCTGATGCCCCTACATGACATGGAGAGCCTCAAGGCCCAGCGTGGCCACCCCCAAGCCGTGGGGCTGCAGGGTTGAGGCTGTGGGGTTGAGGCTCTGCTGGCCCAGCGCAACCCATCTGTCTGCTTGTCTTTCACTTTCTCTTTTTGCAGCGGTGGGTGGGGCTGCGGTTACCTTGGTCGATTACTTACAGTTTGAATGGGAATCACAAACAAAGGACGTGTTTAATAAGAAGAATGTTTTCAGCGCTGTTTCTAAAGCCATGAGCACTCTGCATTGTTGGTGGGTGATGTCTTTTTTAATGCACTTCCCCCCATGTTTTGTTTTTCAGGAGGCAGAGAGGCACACACAAACACAGCTCACATCCTGGGACGCAGCACACACACGGTGTGCTCACAGCTCAGCAGCGAGTGGTGCTATTGGGGTTCAGGTAACGAAATGGGGGAGAAACCCTCCCTCCTTCCCCATTGCTCTCACTGCAGCAGCTGCTGGAGATGCCCAGGACAGGGGCTCTGCAGGCTGGGGTTGCTCTGTGCACACTGCAGAACGTGAGAGCAAAGTGATGCGGGCAAGGAGGGGGCACGGGGGGCACACGAGCTGCTGCACAGATCTGTGCTCACAGCATGACGAAAATCACATGGTTTCCTATTTCATTGCTCTAACTGAGCTTCCAGATTTACCATATTGCTTCTCTGGGAGCTGGTGAAAAAGGCAGCGGTGTTCACGTGTGCCAAACTGCAAAACTGTGCTGCGAAGTGAATGTGAGCTGTTCTCAGCACCTGGACCTTGGACCCTGCTTCCTCACCATCTCCATTGTCCCCATCATCTCTATCACCCCACCATCCCTATCATTCTTATCACCCCCATGATGCCACGACACTCATTGTTCCCATCATCCCCATCATCCCTATTATATCCACCACTCCTAGCATTCTTATCATGGCTATGATCCCATGACACTCCTCATTCCCATCATCCCGTCACCTCCATTCTCCCCATCATTATCATCATCCCCATCATCTCCACTGTCCCCATTGACCCCATCATCCCTTGTCCCCACTGTCCCCATCATCCTCATCACTTTCCATCATTCCCCATCATCCCCACTGTCTCTATTTTCCTCAAGTCCCCATGGATGGCATCCATTCTGAGATGCTAAAGACACCTCTTTCTGAAATACTGAAAAATAAATGAGGTGGATTCTTTTGTTTTACTTTTTTTTCTTCACTTTTTTGTTTCTTCCCTGATTTTCCATCTCAGAACATTGTTAGCAGAAATGTAATGAATCTTTAGGAGGGCTCCCAGAGTCTGTAAGGCTTTGCTTGGTTTTGGACTGGGTTGTTACTGCTTGAGGAAGTCACCTGAAGGTTAATGCAATTGCCATAATACAACAGATGTAAGAAAATAGATTATATCTTGATTTAAAGTCTGGGCTTCCAAACGGTGCAGCTCCCATTGGAAAACACCCAGGTTTTTTGAGCCGTTTCCAAAACACTTTTTAAGGAAAGCACAGAAATGAATCAACGGCCAGAGCCGTGGGGTCCCCCTGCAGCCTGTCTGCAGAGCCCACTGTACAGCACACAGCACAGGCAGGGTGCCAGGTGGGAGCAGGAAGGTGAGAGGGGCTCTTTGTGACCTCCTCACTGCTCCTGGTGCCCACGCGGGATGCTGAGTGTTTCCTGGGATGTGGCGACTGACTTGCGATGGTTCCTGGGATTCTGGGTGTTTGATCCGAGGAAATCACCAGCGAGCCAGGAAATGTCAAGATTACATCACAGGCAGAAATGTTTTAAAGCCCTGAAAGAGAGCTTGTTAAAGCCCATTTCTCCGCAGCACAATCCCAGCTGCTTTCATTTTTGCGTTGCACTTCAGCTTTGCTGCAACGGGCGAGCGGAGCCTCTCCCAAACACCGCTCTGCTTTCTTCTCCCCCAACACATGGAGCTTTCACCAACCCCAGCTCCTGGCTCCCCCCTGGGATGGGGCCATGGCCATGGCCAGCAGCACGCACACGGCGGGACGCAGGGACGCAGCTCCCGTGCCACCAGGGATCTGGGGGTCCTCAGCGGTGCCTGCGCCGGCCCCTGGGACCTGGAGGAGGTGCCAAAACTCACAGCGAAATCTCACCTCGTTGTCTCCTCTTTAAATCCCTAATTTTGCAATGCTGTTAAGGGGCATCCAGCGGAGTATGTGACCCACACGTGTTTTAATTTCTTTTATGGGCTCTGGTTTGCTCTGTGCTCGATGTGTTTTTATAAAATGAAGATTTATTGGAACCTGGATTTTATGGCTTTAAGGTTCAATTGAGAACAGATTGCGAGTTTTTCTTTTTGGAAGAGGTTGGGGATGTTTGGAAGAGCCCCAAATAACCATGGTCCACCCATGGCACTCATGAAAGCCCAGGCCAAAGCTGACACCTTTTCACTTAACTTAAGCTATAATGTCAAAGCAAAAATTTACCATCATCTCCTGTTATGCCTTCCATATGCGATGCTCTACTGCTTATAGAGGTGTGGTGTAGAGCTTGGCTGCCCTCGTGCCAGTATTTAAAGGGAGGCTGCGAGTATATAAAGGCAGGCTATAAGAAAGAAAGGGACAGACTCTTCGGCTGGGTCTGTCGTGATAGGACAAGGGGAAATGGTTTCAAACAAAAAGAGGGGAGATTTAGATTGGGAATATGAAAAAGATTTTACAGTCAGGGTGGTGAGGCAGTGGCACAGGTTGCCCAGAGAGGTGGTAGCTGCCCCATCCCTGGAGATACTCGAGGTCAGGTTGGTCAGGGCTCTGAGCACCCGATGGAGCCGTAGGTGTTCAGTGCAAGGAGTTGGACTAGGTGACATTTCATGGTCCCTCCCAACTCAGATGATTCTATGAAATGATGATCTGTACCATAACAGAGCCTGGACTCAGTGCCGTGCCCAAGGAAGGACGAGTCAGCAAGAAATCCAAGTACACATTATGAATGGTGCTGCAAATTCCCTTTCAGATGTGCACTTGCATTCCTGGCTTTTCCAGCAAAGGCACAGAGATGCCACTGCTTTCTAAAGCAGCCATGCACCCAGTATATTTTAACACACACTTACAATCATAGAATCATAGAATTGTTTGAGTTGGAATGGAGCTTTAAAGGCCATCTAGTCCAAATCCCCTGCAACGAACAGGGATACCTGCAGCTCCATCAGGTGCTCAGAGTTCCGTCCAACCTGATCGGTGTCTGCAGGGGTGCGGCATCCACCAGCTCTCCGGGCAACCTGTGCCAGTGCCTCACTAAAGGGAAGCTTAGAACTGCAGGAGTATCCATGGAGCGCACACCATGTGTTTGTATAGCATTAAGCACAACCCAAAGTATGGGCAATAAACATAGCCCTGTTAAGAGCAACATTCATTCAGAGCAAACTCCAGCTCCCATCACACTCTGTTCACTCCGCGGCAGCCGGAGCCAAGGCGCAGCCCCGTGCCGGCGGTGTCAGCGCCACGCATTGCGTCCCCGGGCACGGCAGCACGACGCGAGCAGCGCCGAGGAGCGGAGCCCGCCCGCCTCTCCGGTTACCACGAGGTGAGTAAACAAACACGTTTATCACAAGGCAGCGGGGCGCTCCGCCAGCTTTGGTTAAAATTAAACAATAAAATCACGACGGCATGAGAAAAGTCCTCCACGAGAACGCTCATCCACGCGAGCACCAGAAATACATCTTGTCACCGCGCCGGGCCCCCACATCTGTTTTGCCACCAGAGGATTCTCCACCAACAGCGGCTTTAATGGGAGCAAGCAGCCTGCTTGCAGACACGGGCTCCAAAAATACATCTCCTTTCCTCCCCGCGCAGTCCCGTGCTTGGCAGGGAACCAGACATAAGGTTCAGCTCCCAGTTCAAAAAGCCCTTCTGTAGGAATCGGCTGGGAGCTTGATTTAATAAAAACCCGCCCGGCTTCCTCCCGGGGGGCTGACGGGATGCAGAGCCCCGCACCTCGCGGGCTCCATCGAGGCACCGCGCTGCCGGAGCCCATGGCTCCTCCCAGGGCCAAGACGGGGCGCTTTGTGCCACAGCGGGGAGCTGAATCGGAGCTGTTGCCCCAGGCTCCCCCCGGGCTCTGAGGAGGAAGAGGAGGGTTTCTCGGTGTGCAGCACAGCCGTCAGCCCCGGAGTGCTGGTCTCTGATAGAACGTAGCACAGTCACAGTGCAACTCACAGCTAAATCATATCTTGAGTGTTGGAAATCTTGTAAATGATATTCCATTGATGAGCATCTACCCGCTCGTCAGCTGCAGGCTCAGGAGGACGTCCTGCCCTAACCGAATTCCATCTCCATGTGAGCGCAGAGGTGGGATCGGCCCTTGGAAGGTCCTTCCTTCCACAGCTACGGAGTCAGCGCCCTACAACCCAGAACCTGGGGCTGAGCCACCGTGAATCCAGCGCTTCCTTCACCTGTTCCAAGGGAGCAGCAAAAAGCAGGGAAGGGAGCACAGGCAGCACGGGAGACAGACGCAGCCCAAGTAGTAAACATCGAAATGAGCCCTGCTGAAATTCGTAAATTTCCTGGATCCGTTTCCCTCCTTTCCCAGCGTTTTGCTGAGCACTGTGGGATTCGAGCCATTATTATTTTAAGCAGTTTTTTGGCTTTTCTGGCTGCAAAAATAGTCATCACTTGTAAATTTAAGGCATTGCTGTCTTATCTGGTGTGCAGCCAAAGCGGATGGAAACAATAGAAGAAGTGTGAACTTTCTCCTTCATCTCAGTGAACATTAACTTCAAAGCCTGGCTGTAAAGTCTCAGATGTAATGACTATTTGTCCAAAGGAGAAACACATCAGCTTGATCAATGAATTAAAGTTATAAAACACAGAGGTTACATTTGCTCGGCACTTGTGAAAAAACACATGGCTGTGCTTGGGTGTGGGGCAAACTGTTACCGAGTTATTGGGGAGCGGCTGGTGCTGCTGGGCTTTCTGTCCCCATGGTCCCTCTGTCCTCGGGCACAAGATGGAGCTCGTTTTGTCACTGAGGTTTCTCTGCAGCACTGCTAAGCTCTAGCAGCCAAATGCCATGGGACCTGGGCAGCAGCGCTGGCACAGCTATGTGAGGATGCTCAGGGATATCAAAGAAATGTGGTAAGATCCCTAGATCCCTCATTTTTCCCACATTTTCCATTTTTCTACCAAATAGTCCATGAAAATCTCTTGGGCACCCTGCTCTGGGTGTCCCTGCGGGGGCAGGGCTGGGCCAGGTCGCTTGCAAATGTCCCTTCCCCATGAAAAAGGACCAGAGTCCAAATCTCTTTTTGCTTCCGTGACTTCACATCAGGAACCTGAAGGGAAGAACACTTCTATTATTTGAGTTTTATCAACTATTTTCCTAAAGATGACCACTCCACGACCCCTTCCAGAAAACACTCCTCCTTTCCTTGTTGTAGTTGATGTGAAGAGCCCAGACCTGTCCCATTCCCAGGCAATGGCTGCATGGGTCTTGTCTGGGGGGTTTGCCTGTAGGAACAAGGCCTGGCTGGCTCTGTGCTGGCAGTCTCCCTAGAAGAAGCAAGCAGAACCCTGCCATGAGCACCACTTCTCCCTCCTGGGCAACAGGGCCGGGCAAGTGGAGCACGCTGCAGCTCTGCCTGGGGAAGGAGAGGAGGAAGTGCTGGAGCATGAAAGGAGGGTTTGTCTGAAAGCTCCCTAACATCTTTTGCCAACAGCTTGTTTGCATCAGCTCTGGGCGAACACAACCAGGAAAGCTGTGTTGTTCTTGTACAGGAGCTGGGTTCAGCTGGAGCAAACTTCACCTGGCCCTGCTGTGCTTGGCCTCCAGAAGGTGAGTTAGCAAGAGGCCTCCTCCATGCCATCCCTCCACCCCATCAGTGTCCCCAGGGAACAAGTGGTGGGACTGGCCATGAGGGGCTGGAGAGGGCACCCTCCTTCTTGTCCTCAGTCCTCAGGAGACCCGGGGATGTCACCACACCTGGGCTTGTACGTGTATTCAATCTGCTCTTAGCAAAGGGGTCAGTGACAGCTGTCCCCTTTCAGTGCTCCAAGTCCCACTTTTCATCTCCAGTGGGTCAAGTCCTGGGCTTTGGAGCAAACTAGGAGCAGTGACATGTTGTGTTACACAGTCAAAAAGCAATGGTCGCTCTTTGGTTCAGTATGAGGCCTCACCTCGAGTGCTGTGTTCAGTTTTGGCACTCAGCACAGAAAAGACATGGGGGTGCTGGAGCAGGTCCAAAGAAGGGCGACAAGGCTTGTGAAGGGCTTGGAGAATATGGCCTGTGAGGAAGGCATATTTGGGGAGAAGGAGGCTGAGGGGAAACCTTATTGCTCTCTTCCAATATCTGAAAGGTGCTTACAGCGAGAGCGGGTTGGTCTCTTCTCACTGGTGGCAGGTGGCAGGATGAGAGGAAATGGCCTCAAGTTGTGTCAGGGGAGGTTCAGGCTGGATATCAGGAAGCACTTCTTTACAGAAAGGGTTGTGAAGCACTGGCATAGGCTGCCCAGGGAGGTGGTTGAGTCACCATCCCTGCATGTGTTTAAAAACCGTTTGGATGTGGTGCTCAGGGACATGATTTAGCAGAGGGCTGTTAGTTAGGGTAGGACGGTTAGGTTGTGGTTGGACTCGATGACCTTTCAGGTCTTTTCCAACCTGAGCAATTGTATGACTCTGTGATTCTATTTGTAAACAGAGGCCTGACAGACGCTTTGGGTGGGAGGCGTGAGATTTATCAGGAAAAAGCAAGAGGAAAGCAAGAACCTTGAAGGCTTATGATCTGGCTGTGCAGCTGCAGTGACAGAGTGAACTCAAGATCAAAGGCAACGCACTGTTGCTCTCCAACACCTCGCCTAGACCAGGGATTAGACCCAGTATTAGTTATCAGGCAGTATAAAAAGCACAAACATGCCCTTTGCTCTTTGGAATATACGGAACCCAGAAGGAAGCCAGATTTGATTTAGGAAAGCACATTTGCATGTGTTGGTTTCTTCAGCCCTGCACCATTCCTCAGAACCCTCTCCTGCTCTGGGTGGAGACAGAGCAGGGCTTCAGACTACTGCTGCTGCAGGAGTGTAATTGCAATTGCTGCTTGGTCTTCTGCTAATCTCGGAGACCTGCAGCAAGCAAAGTGCAAACTGGGAGTGTTTTGGGGCAGGGATGCACTGCATAAAACAACCCCACAGAACTGGAAAAAATCCACGTGAAACCTTTTGGTGCTTGCATTTCACTGAAGGAAAGGAGGCCAGACTGAAGCCCAGGCTTCTCACTTGGACTTTGGCTGCTTGGAGAGAATCTCCAATACCCGGTTTTGCAGCAGGGTTTGCCCAGTGTGCTGAAGTCTCAGTGTGGTTCAGCTCTCAGCCCAGTCTCTGACCAGAATTGTGCCATCATTCTACAAAACCCATTAGCTCACCTTGTGTGTCCAAAGTGGTTTTTGGCTTCTGGGGCCGCAATAGGAAGGTGGCAGCAGTGAAAACCCGTGTCAGCCTCTGCAACAACCATGCTTCAGCACAGGCTGCCTCTAAAAGCCACGTACTGCAGAACAGATGGTACATCTGTTTCTATTTCCAGTATGATCTCACTAATCACTTTTTAAGAATCTAGCATTCAGAGCTAATCAACATGAGCTGAATTGCAGTAAATGTTCCTACAACAATGGAAAACCCTTTGCAACTGCCTTTCCCTAGGTTATCCCCTCAGGAAGCAGAGTTTATCCTCTGCCTGAATTTGGCCAGAAGCCCCATGATCCCTGCAAAGCCAGGGCCTCTCCCTGAAGAGCTTCTGCCTCATCTAGGTACTTGTCTGTTTGACAAAGTAGAGCTGACTTTCCAGTTCAGTAGTCAAACCAACAGCTAAACGCTCACTTTATGGGTCAACCCCAACTCCTCACAGGGATGGAGGGGAGAATCCCCACGGAGACCTTGCTATGAGCACAAGGCTTATGAAGAAAAGCCATCGTCCTCTATAATCTGCAATGTACAGCATAAGCTCAAAGTTCAAAACCCTCCTGTTTGTCATACAGAACAAGATTTTAAAAGAAGACTCCTGGAAGCAGTATCATGACCAGCATGCCAGGCAGCCCAGAGGCACATCAGATAGCTGAACTCCCCAGGTGACTCAAGGATCCTTGCCCCAGATGTCCCCATTGTGATGGATGTGCCTGGGCTGTCCTCTGGAGATGGATAAGTGCAGGAGCATTGCTCTGGGCATAGCTACTCCCAGGACAGCTTTCAAGGGCCCATGGGCAAGCTCTGCCTCCCTGCCAGATGGTGCTCCTCCAGCATGCCCCACTGGGCTGTCCATCTATCCACCAGCTCTCCTCAATGCTTACATGCCTCAGCCCAGGGCATGCAGCACCCTGACCTTGTCACACTGCAGAAACCCAACACTGGTGAGTTATGGCATTGCTGTCACTATTTCAGGCATTAGGACCTAAGAAAAAGAAACAAATAAACAAATAAACAAACAAACAAAAACCCCAGACCCTAAAAAAATCTATTTCTTTCCTAGGTCCACAAGCACAACCCACAAGACCAAGCAAGACCTGAGAGGTAACACATGGCAGAGAAATCCTTGCTCTGGCTGAAGCGTTCTCAATTCCCTTCCCAACATGACTTGTCATTGATGTTTCGATGCCCTTGCTCTCAGGACACGGCTCTTTATGACTCCATTAGGTTATTACATTCACTGTCTGTCTGATTTTAAACAGGTAAACGGGACAGGTACCAACGCAGCAATGCTAACTTTTATTTTCAAGACATGGCAATGGGTCTCAATGGTGCTTTGCCACATGTCCTGAGAACACATTTCTTTGTCCCATTTTTTTTTGCTGCCTCCATCAGCATCCATTGCTGGGGTCACACAAAGCACAACGGAGCTGTTACAAGCCTTAAAATGGCAACCTCAGCATTTGTAGAGCAACCACTGACTGCAGGGGGTGGTAGGCGTGCATTTGCAGCTGTGTTCCTTTTAAAGCTGATTTATTTTAACGAGAATTTCACGGCACGCAGCTGGCAGCAGCCGATAGACACGGCAGTTTCCAGTTTCTCTGCTTTGGAGAAGTCTGAGGTACTCAGGGCCTTCTTTGTCCTCATCTTTCCAATGAGACCAGGAATCTGGAATCTCAGCGTCCTGGGCAAGTCTGGAATAAGACTTACCCTGTTGGGACCTGACGGGAGGTACCCATGAGTGTAGGGGGGGAGCTGGCCAATGTTACTGATGAAGTATAGACTAGATATGTAAACAGTGAGGTGGATGTGCAGAACTGCCAGGCTCAAAGGATTGTGACCAACTGCATCAAGTCCTGGTGGAGGCCAGGCACTGACAAAGTGCTACAGAGTCAGTACTGGGTCCAGCACATTTAACATCACTGATTTCCTGGAAGATAAGGCAGCATGCCCTCAGTGAGTTTGCAAGGATACAAAACAGGGAGGGGCAGTCTGCAGAGCAGGACCTGGGGTCCTGGTGGACACCAAGCCAGCAATGTACACTTATTATGTAGAAGACCAGCGGCCTCCTGGTCTGCATTGGGAAGAGCATCACCAGCAGATGAAGGGAGGTGATTCTTCCCATCTACTCAGTGCTAGCGAAAAACATCTGGGGTATTGCGTCCAGATTTGGGCTCCCTAACAAGAGGGGCTTTGATACACTGAAGTGAGCTCCTTCAAGAGTCACAGTTAAGGGATTGAATCAGCTGACACGAGAGGCTGAGAGTGCTGGAATTACTGACCCTGGAGAAAGCTCAGGATCTTATCACAGCGTCTAAATCAATGTGTTTAACTACTTGATATTGAGATTCAGAAAAGAAGACTCTTCTAGGTAGTGCCCAGCTCAGGACAAGAGACAGTGGACACCGAGTAACTCTTTTACTATGAGGGTGGTTGAGTGCTGGAAGAAGTTCCCTACAGAGGTTGTGGAGCTCCTATCCTTGGAGGCACCAGACCTGACTGGACGTGATCCCACACATTCTGCTCTGGGTGTCTTTGCTTGAGCTTGGGCTAGATGCTTTCCAGAGATGCCTTCCATCGTCAACCATTCTGTGAAATATGTTTAATTCTCCAGCATACAGCACAGTTACTTTAAAGTATTTCAACATTTTTACCTCATTACAAGAAAACTGGCTTTAAAGCCCAATAGCACAATGAATCTTTGTCAAACTTGTGGGGCCAGAGTTCCGAAAGCTCCGAGCTTTAACAATCTAACAAACTAAGCTACAAAATGCACCACGTGACTCAGATGTTCCTGCTGCAACAACCATGCAATCAAAAGCTTCTCAAACATAGCCCTTTGTTGGCAGGACAGCGTGGAGCCAAGTTGCTGTGATTCAAGTTTTAGAAGAGACTTTATAAAATGTCAGGAGTTACCCAGTGCCATCCAGTGTTGGTAGCTAGAAGAAGAAAGGATAAGCATGGTTACAAATGGGTGTAGCCCAGTGGAACAGGAAAACAGAAAAATCCCAGTTCTTCCTTTCTGTATCAGGGGGTCAGTGATGGCACAGAAGATGTGCAGCACCGAGGTCTGTGAGGCAGCTGTTCCTCAGCAGAGATGTGCCTTAGTTGTCTTGTTAAAAAAAAATCTTTCACCTTTTACAATCACTTTTCAAACCATGTAATCAGTTTGAGAGAGATGTAGATGGCCCCTTTTGTCATGAGGCTCATGCCTGTGACATCAGTCTAGAGAGAAAGTCGTGCTGATTATTCTGGTTAGATGTTCAGGAATTTAGATTAGAAAAAAAATATGTAGGAGTTGTCTCCTTCCTGAGATAAGTATAGTTAAAACATTACCTTTTCTCCTCCTTTATCTCAGATGTTGCATTTGACCTGCCTTTTCCTTGAAGCCTTTTAAATTTCACAAGATCCCATGCATATCAGACAAGGAAACACTCTCCCAATCATGGTCTTTTGATAACTGAGTAACTGTACTTAGGATTTGTCCTTCAGAAGACTGCATGAAACTCAGTCAGCACCATGGTCCCACTTAACAGAGAAGGAAACTGAGGCACGGGCCCCGATCTCCCCAGTACAGCAGAGAGCTGGGCTCTGTCTGGGGGGCATGGAGAGAAGCTGGATCTCACAGCCCAAGTGAGAAATAGGAGAAGGGGAACACGAGGCACTGAGATGCCTCAAACCCACCAGGGTTTGGGTGGTGAGGGGATTCCAGGGTCATGATTTCATCTGTGGTGTGCATGGCAGAGAAACCCTCCTTCAGTCACTTCTAGTACTTTAGACTCACTTCCTCTGCCCTGAAGCACTCTGATTTCCCACAGTAAAGAAGACAGCAGCAATTTGAGCAGTTCTCTACCAATTCTTTATTTTACCCCCTGGAAGACAAAAGGCCAAGGAAAGACAGCAATGGGAGTACAACTCAGATTAACACATCACGAAGAGTAAAATGAATGGCACTTGCTCTCCAAAAGACCACACTGCACTGTGTGTCTGGAGGGCTCCTCACATTTGTCTTTTCTCCTCCACCCACACACCTCTGCAGCAGATCCTTGCTGCCTGCTGCCAACAGCCCACCTTCCTACCTTACCTTCTCCTGAGCTCCTGGAGATGGGCCAGGCGGTGTGGCTGCAGCTCACGTGCTGAGAAATCCTGTCCTGGAGCCAACATGCTTTTTCTTTTCTGGACAGTCCCAAGAACCTGGGAACTGAGTGGCCCTGAGTGCCTGCAGGAAGACCCCTGGCTCATTAATAATATCTGCATGCTTCACTGGGGCCACGCACCGCCTAGGTGCTCTCCACAGCTACAAGATGCTCAATCCACCTCACACAGAGCTTTCAGCTTGAAGCCCAAGACAGAAAATCACTAATTCCTATGATGACTGCCCAACCTGGGCCTCAGCAATTCTTCAAGAAGAGAATTTTCCATAACAGGGGCCACAGGACAAAGCACAGAAGGAGCTGAGTGGAGAAAGGACACCGGACAAATATAACATTCATGGAAAAATAAACCAACAGTGCGTATCCCCCTCATTGAGAAGGTTTATAATGTAAGTTTGCAATGAGCCAGTCCTACTCCAGGGGTTTTAGAATCTCAACAACCAGGATGAAATAAGAGGAGTGGGAAGGAGGCAAACCTGTGATTCTCTGCATTACGCAGCATAACTCTGCTTTGTTTACAGGTTGGAGACTTTTTTAAACCTATAAATAAACTGGGGATGTTAATGATACCATTAATCTTCGCTGGCCACCGTCCCAGCTATTTTCAATGCTGAGGTTACCTTGCATCCCTCAGCAAACACCAGTCTCCAGAGGAGGACTGGATGCTGTGTACCCAGCCCCGGGCCACTGCTCTCAGCAGGACACTGCTGCGTCCATGGCTGTGCACCAGGATGTGTTCCCAGTGCTGGCCCTCCTGGCCACGGGCCTGGAGGAAGCAAAGAAAATACTCAACAGGGAATAAATGACAGGAGAATGCACGAACTCCTTGTCTCCTGCTAGGAAATGCCCTGATGGAGATCCTTGCTTCTCTGGAGGTCTGGCAGCCTGCTCCCCTTCGTCTACCTTTCCAAGGGGAGAAAAGTGACTACATATTGCTCTTCTTCTGCTCTCATACAAAGCTGGTCTGAAATAGCTCAATAATATAGGGACTGCAACACATCCTTGCCTTGTCAGGTATGGTGGGACACAGAAAAAGCTCCATTCTAACAGCATAGAGCTGCACCATAGGAGGGTCAGTCTTGGTTTTAGGAAAAGGTTCTTTACCGGAGGGTGGTGGGTATGGAAGAGGCTCCTCAGGGCAGTGGGCATGGCCTTAGCTGCTGGATTTTGAGGAGTGTTTGGACAACAGTAGCAAACATAGAATTTGAATTTTGCGTGTTCCTGTCTGGAGCCAGGAGTTAAGCTGATGGTCCTTGTGGGCCCCTTTCAATTCAGGATATTCTGTGATTCAGATTCTTCTCAATGAGGCGTCAATATGGGATTTGTTGAGGACAGCAACACCAGGACCATGTCTGCTAGGTATGGTGCTCATGATGCACCAGGGGCTGGTTTGACTGCAGATGCTAGTCTGGCAGTAGCTGCCATGCTCCCTGGATTCACCTCACAACTGTAATATGCTTTTGTTTATTATTTCTGCTACAATATGCCAGAAATATGAATTCCTAGAAGAGTAAACAAGGATTTCTCTCCTTTTAGAAACAATGTTCACACTTAGTGGAAATAGGTCCCTTTGAAAGCCAAGCCTACAGAGTTTTCCTTTGAACTCTCTGCTTGGAAACCCAAGATGGTCAGGGTACAGCCACATGTGGCTAGAGAAGCAAATGTTCCTGTACCACCAGATAATGATGCTGGCCACCCTTCTATTTTCTGTAACCTGCCAAGAAGTTGCAACACTCTCTCAGTAGCACAGAGTAGTCATTCACACCCTGGTCCCAAGTGATGTTTGGCTATGGAAGTTATGAGAATTTTCTCTCCTGAAGCACTCAGCATTGTGACGCAGTTTCCTTACATTCTCAGGAAGCACACTGAGTTTTCTCTGTGCTGTTTACTTTGTGCTGTTTACTGTTATTTCCCAATTCCATAATACCTATTGTTGTCTGGATGCCACTTCCTATAAAGTATCCACAAAGGACTATTAAGAGAAGTTTGGATGCTTTTCCTTACCTTACCAATGACATTTCTGGGCCTGTGTCAGCAATTTCTCCGTGGAGATCCATCCCTCCTGACCCGACTTGCAATTCACAAGTAAAGCAACCTGCTCTCCCTCAGGAACTGCAATGAAATTCATTTAACTTATTTGGGTTTTACTGTGCTTCCTTGATGATACACAATGGACAATCTGAAAGCACTGTTAATGCCACAGCTTCCAAGCTATCTAACCTCTTTTGGGGTTCCTAAAGACAGGGAAAACCATATGTAAAGACCAACAGCAATTCATCAGATGAGTTGCTCTCCATATAGAAGATGGCTGCATTAGAGAGTTAGCCATCTACACTCTATTGGGATAAACTGGAGTAACATCAACCTCAGAAAGGGAGTGGGGAAAAAGCCCCTCAAAATCCCAGCTTTTCTCCTCATATTATTCTGTGCCTAGTGAAACAGTGTGTCTGGTGAGAAACCAGCTGGCATCAGACACACAGAGGTCCTCCAGACAGACTCAACTGAACATTCACCTTGACGAAGTAATCAACTTGTCAAGCACAGGAAGTCCTCGCAGCCAGACCGATGATGGAGGGTAACCAATACTCCATCTGCAGCATCAAGCAGTCAAGGATTTGAAATATTACAAGGCAGGAGACCTGAAACGTTAGAGAAGAAAGAGTGTAGACAAGGGGATAGATTAGCAACATGTATAGTCCAGAAAAATGAAAAAGAAAAGCCAGCAATATTTCACACTGGCCCCAAATGAATAGCAGCCTCATATGAAGTGGTTAAGGCTTGTTGCATATGGTGAAAACACAGGCTAAGCCAAGTAAACAATCTCAGGCTAGTGGCACAGAAGAAATAATCTCTCCAGAGCAAGAAAAGGCATCTGTTTCTTCATCCCAGATATGAAAATGTCCATGCTCAATGTGAGCAGTGCTGAGTGCTCTGTGGGCAGATGACAGCATCTCCCAGCTCCTGAGGGGGACAGACAGCCACTGCCCCGGTGTGTGATGCCTGCAGGCAGTCTGACTGAGCCCCAGAACAGGGGTTGGATGCTCCTGCAGATCCCACTGCTACACAGGAGGGCCACTGGCAGTAGTGTCAGGAGATCTCCCCACGCTCTTTTGAAGCAGCATCTCAACAGAGACGCTTGATTGCATAAAAAAGGCCAGCTAAAATAATTCCTGCCTGTTGACCCGTTATTACTGCTTAGAAAAAACACCAAATAAACACAAATCCTAAGAGGGGGAGTTCTCTGCTTAGCATACAGATAACACAGTGCGATCCAGGGGTAGGAAGGTGCAGCTACAGCAGGGACAGGTGGTGCTGCTAAAGATTATCCAAACGGTGGCCATTTCTTTCCACGTTCCCAAAAGGAGGGAGAGAAGGGCGACGGTGCCTCAGAGGGACAACTGGAGCTGAGCCCCATGCCATGCAACCCACTGCCTGTGCCTGCTGCCTGGAGAGCCAGTGGCTGAGGATCCACACCCTGTCTGAAGAAGACACTTGGGAGACTGAGATGTTATGTACATTGGACATAGAAATGTGAAACTCACTTGTTAATGTTGATAATTAACTATTGTTTGCCTAGGAGAGTGTGCTGAAGCTGTTTATTTGGAAGGCTGCTCCCAAGGCAGCAGGAGCCCATGGCCGCGTTGTGTAGGTCACACCAGACTCACAGATGAAGAAGTTCCTTCTTTGGTCCTAAGGGCTGCTGAACAGACAGCAGGATTCAAGAAAACTGGAAATGAGCACTGCTACATAAACCCAGCATTTCAGCATACTCTGATGGAACAGAGCCTCCTACCTGCAAGCTGTAGCTAGGTTGGGTTTCTCACCTGTCCTGGAGGAGATACTGGCCAGTTGTGAGATTCATTCTCTAGTCAGGTCTCTGTAGTAGTATGATTGTTTCCTCTATAACCACTCAGTGGGAACCAGTGCTTTCTCTTCTGTATTCAGCTTTTTTTTCTTTGTTGGATGCAAAAACTTTGACATTCACCTTAATGATGTTTCTTTTTAGTTGCTTCATGTTTCCCTTTGTCAAGCTCTTCCAGCAATATTAACTGTAACTAATGCATTAATTCACAGCTGAACCCTGCCAGTCTTTTAAACCCAGTGCTGCTTTAGATTGCTGGTTTAATTTTTAACCCTCCTAGAATTGCTGCGTTCAAGCTATCCCAATGCACACCACGGTCTGGAGCAGGTTCCTGGTTACACAGCACAGCTGTGGGCAGTACACATGAATCAGGCACGCTGGGGGACTCTGCTTCTCCTGCAAGTTATCCACAGGAAACAGTTCACAGCAAAAGTTCATCAGAATCCTGGAAAACAAAGAGTCTTACTAGTTTAGGCATCTGAAAAATGATGCAAATGATGAGCACACATTTCACTAGCATTGTACATGAGCAATATTAGGCAAATGGACATTTTTCCAGATCCTCTTTTTTGTTTCTCATTTCTGAGCACATCCTTAGAAACGAATGGAGTCCAGAGTTTTAGGTTAGGATCCTTGTTTGATCCTACACCAAACTGGACAGATTTGCAGACGCTGCCCTCTCAAGTCCCATGACTACTTACAGAGTCTGCAGGTGTTCACTTGCTGTGAAAGCCAGGATATTTGTATTTTGGTAACTCGCAGGTGGTTCAGGCACCCAATTTTCATCAGTTTGACTTTAAGTTCTAAAATTCTGGCCTAGAGGTAGGCAGAAAACTGGAATTTGTTGGCCAGAGCCTGGAAACACACTGGCCATTTGAGTGCTGGAGTTCAGGCTGAAATGAAGGCTCCTCACTTGTCAGAAGGTTTAAAACAAAACAGGAAGTTATTAATATCAGAGACTGAGCTGACTGGAGAGCCAAACAATATGAAGCAGAACGTGTCTCCCCATTTTCCTGTTTATCTCTTGCTATTTTAGAACTCAGGGGAGATGAAGAGTCACAGTTTCTCCATTACAGTGTGGTGCTACAAGGCAGTGAATTCTGTCCATCATCACAGTACAGATACAGAATCTCCTACAGTCTCTAAAGTTTTTGCCACACTTTGAAATAAATATGCAACTGATTTTGAGATGATGGAGTGGAACACAACAAAATGATGCAGTGCAGCAGCATGCAGGAGTTCAGAGAAAGTGAGCAGTAGTGAAACTACAGGGGAGGGTGATAGCCTGCCTGGATCTAATTATCTTAAGAAAACACTGGAACTAACGAACTTTCTCCTGAGGAAGAGCCATGAGATTTTTAATTAACACAGGCATTAGGATGGTTTATCAAAAAAGACAACACTGCTCACAGTGGGAGGAAAGAAAAGATACCGTACGTATTGGGTGACCACTTATGGGACAGAGATGAGCCAAACTTGCAGGCCTTACAGCCAAGCCTCACACAGTAGCACTGCAGATGACACTTCCTAGTGCAGCTTGGCTTTTCTTAAAAAGCACACTGGTGGTAGATAGGCGTCAGCTCCCTCAGAAAGTTTTCCACTCTCTGGGGGAGACTGGGTGTGAAGGTTCATTCACTCAGTCTCTTCCCTCTTGCAGCATTTTTCCCTTATTCAGAGATTGGGGGCTTCTGCTTTTCCCCCTCTCCCCCCTACCTTTTGCTAAGCCACTCACAGCTGTCTGAGGCAAATTCCTTGAGTCAGACTATCACCACAGAGCCTTCCTCCTCTCTGACTTATACCAAAGCACTACTGGTGGAGAAAACCTTTACATATTAGAAACAATTTCTTCTCAGGAGTGATGAGCAGTGGCACAAGCTGCCCCCAGAATCTTTTCTCCTACATGTACCATGTAGGGCTATGGAACAAAGGGAGGCTCAGCACACGATTGCAAGGCTCCAGGCAGCAGTGGTCATTGCTGCAGCCATTGATAGATTCTTCCATCATCCCGATCTTCATCCCTACAATGGAGGGAAGCACAGATAGAGAGACAATGGGGGCACAGAATGACAAAAAGACCATCTCACCAGCTGGAAGATACAACTTGGTGTCACAGCAGCACAGCTAGTGGGGAGCATAGTGATGGGTGGCTCCTGCCTGAGCTTGTGATGGAGCAGGAGGAGGAGGAGGGCAAATGTAGGAAGGGCATTTTCAGATGAAGAGGAATTAGGCAAGGCTAATGAGTGGCTACTAGGAAAGGAAAATTAATGGTAGAAAAACAGTTATTAATCATTTTCATGTTTTAAACAAGAAACATGAGAGGCAGGTAAATGAAGACTAGGGAAGTCAAAATGTCCTACAGAGTATATTAGAGAGCTTTAGGACAGCGCCTTAGCTCTCCATACAGCTCCAACCAAACATCACTCTGCATTTAAAAGGCAGCTACTGTAAGTGCTCTGAAGGATTCTCTTTGCTGTCCAAAGCATGCAGTCAAAAGACACCTCAGAGCAGATCCACTCAGGACCTGGCTTTCCCCAGTGCCATATCTGAATGCCTCCCAGACTCTTATGTATGAATCTTGTGTGCCCTAAGGTACAGAAGTGCTTTTCTTAGAGAATAAGGGAAAATGGCTGACAGCCTACCAAAGGATTCACTGGCAAAGCAGAAACCTGGCTGCAGCTTGTCTAACACCTGAATGTCCTGACACACCCTCTTCTCCCCAAAAATGTGGGAAAAGAAGAAACAAAAGCAAAGCCATAAACCGGTGGTTAAAGTCATTTGCGAGCCCTCACTGCAACCTCCCAGGCAGTGATCACTGCAGATCCTGGCTGGTTTTACTGCTACCACAATACCTTTCCCCTCTCAGGGTTTCTGCTGCATCCCAACAGGAGGTGGGAGCTGCCTGGGGCAGAACCTTCCCCATCATTTGCATGTGGCACTTGGTATAATGGGGTCTGAGAGTCACGTTATTTCATGCCACTCGTGTCTGCCTTGTGAAAACTGTGAGTGGCTGACACAAGTGAAATATGCATGAGAGAGTGCCATCTGTGCACACCAGGCAGCTTTCACCTTCTCTACTTGCTCCAAGATTTTTAACTTTTAGGGAGATTATTTAGGGTGCAGACGATAGCTCTTGGGGGTGACGAGGATCTGGCCAGTGAGTCAAACCGAGCCTAGAAGCCCTGCATGTGGCAGAGGAATTTACAAGAATAAGACCTGGCAGATGAATTGTTTATGAAAACTCTGACATCTCAGCTGCTGCTGTGAAGGATTTATGCAGTAGAGATGTGTGTATTCGTGCTCCACTACTGCCTATTCCTGTGTATTTCCTCTCTCCCTGCCTGTCAAGGCTTTGCTTGGGATATATCGATGTACACTGTTCCTGAAGAGTCTTGGGAAATAATCTAGCGGGTAAAGATTTGCTTCAAAGCAGATCTTCGAACATCTGTTTGTACTTACTGCACAAATATTTAGTGCACTGCAGGACAGAGCTGCCTGTAGCTTCAAGGCAAACACAAATGCTAAGAGGTATTAAATGCTCTGCAGTATAAACAAGATAGCCTGGAATAGCTTACTGGCTAGGTGGTAAGGGGAGGGGAAGCCACACAGTGTACTTCAAGCCTAGTCCTTTTCCCAGTTTATTCCCATGTGGCATGTTTTATTCCCACTCTCCTGCCAGGTGAATGAGGAGATCACGTGGCTGGCTGGAGTCCCTGTATCACCTCCTGGAAGGATCTGCAGTTCTGGTGCACAGCGGGGACAGAAACACAGCACTGATGCTGTAAGGACATGGCATCAACACTCATCTTGATGGGCACAAAGCACCACGAGCAACATCTCAGTATCTCTAATTCACAGTCTTCTGTACGGTCTAACCCCACCTCCTTGGAGATTTCAACTAAAACACAATTTGGAGCAGCTCTGCCCTGTATGTATGTTATCTCCTGCCAACTGCTGCAGGGACAGTCATCAGTGCCAGCAGAGCAGTAATAAACAGCTGGGCTGGTCGCCTTCAGTCACCTCGGCGTGATTTGCTAGAGCTCATTTGTCAGAGCCCTAAATCACAGCACAAATGCTGGAAAACAGCCTAAAATGGATACACACAGATCTCAAAACCTGCAAATTCTCTGAAAGCATGCAGCGTAGGCCAAAAAACAGTGCCTTCCCTAGGACAGCTGATGTTGGTTCTCTGATTCAAAAAGCATCAACAGTCACATTGACAGCGGTGTCTCTGGAGGTACAGAAACATCGCTGCCAATGACAAGGTACTGCACAGGTAGAAGTTTCTAATGCAGATCGAATTCAGTTCTGCCTTTCTGGAGTTGAAGAGGGCTTTTCTATCATGCTGAGTTAATGCAACCGAGCCAACAGGGATTAGAGCTATGCCCTTTTCTGCCTGTTGAGACACAGTGAAAGAAAGCAGCCACCTTAAATCAAAGGGTCCAGATTCAGGGAGGTGCTCGAGCTAGAAATCAGAAGGCAGTTTACAGATACTTTGATAACTTGAGCTTTTATCATTCCACAGGCCCCGGAGATCAGTTGGTGAGAGCTAAGTGAGTTTCCTCATATGGTATTTGAAGGCAAAGTCAATCCACGTTTGCTTCCCAACAGGCAAGCCCAGACAGCTACAGTGAGTTATAAAAAGGAGAGATTAAATACAAGTTTTGCAGAGCTACTCTCTGAAGAGATACAATCGGTTCTACCATTTGTGCTTAGGAGTCTGAATCAGATGCAGGCAGCTTTGAAGCACCAGTTTTGTCAAGAATATCCCTTACTTTGTCCTATCTTGAAAACTTGAATTGTTTAGCTATTAAATGAGATTAATGTAATCTCTATGTCTATGAAATTGGATTTTGAAATTGCTTGCTCACTGTACTACCGTGAGTGCTGTGAATAAAGCTTCTGCTCCTTCTCATGTTGCTACAAACTATAGGTCACACCTTGTATGGGCCAAGAGCATGTTGGCATCACACAAGGATAAAATGACAATATGAGAGGCCACAGAGCCAGGCTGGAGTCTGGGAGATCATTATGGACATTAGGAAGGCATCGCCCAGAGAGAGGAACTCAAACCCCTGGGACTTTCAAGATTTGGCCAGGCAATGCCAAGGCTGACCTGACCTAGAGCCATGATGCTGTGCTAAGAGGAGCCTCAACAAGCTTGCGACCTTCAGAGGTCCCTTCCCACCAACTGTGTCTGGTCATTTTCCTAGTTCAAAGGAGCTGAACGCTGTTAAGCTATGTGAATATGTATCCTTGTACGCTACCTAAGGAGCTGAGATCCCTGCAACAGCATTTAAAAGACACTTCAGAAAAATGTTTTCTGGTTTGGAAACTTTTTTGCTCTAGCATTCAGCCTTGGTTTACTACAGAAAGCTCTGGAAAAAAAATCCCCCAACTTTGCTGGCAGTACCAGATCTCAGGGCATTTCCACATCTTGCAAAAGGCCACGGTGGCCACAGTTGGGCTCTGGGAAGACAAACATAGATAAACAGCAAAGTGGTACCAGTGGAATGAAGAACAGCACTGAGTCAAAGCAATAGGCTTCTGACATACATGCACTGCTACACTGCTCAGTGGCACAAACATTCTTCAACATCTCCTCTCTAGGGAGGAATGTGCTATGAGAGGTGGGGATCATCACCTATCCCATTCAGGGCTGCCTGCAAGATACACCATGGGAGCCCCAGAATAGCATCTCTGGGCTGTACACTAAGGAGGACATTGAGACATGGGTGAGAAGCATGAGGAAGATTCTGCTGGCCATACAGCAGCTTGGGGAAATTGGGGAGCTCATAAAAGCTGCCTTTGAAACCTGAGAAACCAAAGGTGAGGTTGAGTCTAGGGGGTATCAAGGGGGTAGCAAGGCAAGGCAAGGCAAAGCAGTCCTACTGAATGCTGCATTCTTTGCCTCCCGTTCTTCCACTACTTTTTTTTTTTCTTTTCTTGGCACACTCTTCTACCTAAGGAGGGTAATTTAAAATGGGTATCATTATCCATGCATAGGGGGGAAAAATCAAGCAAGGTTTTCCTCTGCTGGTTTAATAAGCTGCTGGCTGCCAAGAAACTAACAGTAAATGTTAAGAAATCTGAGCCCCTCCTGCACGTTGCTTCCCTTCCTGCTGCCAGAAGCAGCATGTTGTGCTCTCCTCCAACAACCTGGGAAACACAGCTCAGTCCTGTGAACATGATCTCGCCACAAGTGTTGACAGTCCAGTGGCTTCACTCAGAGGTAAATGGTAGAAAAAGAGATATCTCAGGGCAGGAGGCAATTGCAGCAGCATCAGAGATTTCTGCTTGTCGGCAGCTCACTCATACTGTGTCTCATTGCAGCAGCTTCTGTTCACTTGAGGTTCCTGACTGTAATGACTTTATTACCACTTCCACCACACACTACGTATGCACACCACTTCATAGGCACTTCACCTTTCTGCTGACAGAGGGACAGTGATGCATCCTCTTGCAGTCTGAAGCAATTGCTCTTTTCAGCTCTTGGGTATCCTTAGCCAGGGATCAGCAACTCCACACTCCAAGCTTTGTTATGTCTGCAAGCCCCATGCATCCTCTGGATGGTCCCTGCCAAGTTCCCTCTCTGGGGAGAAGGGAACCTATTTGCAGAGTAAACTCACAGTGGCAGCACTGACTTCTGACAAGACATCCCTGTGCAGTGCCCTACAGTGCTGTCCCTTAAGGGTGGGGAGAAAAAATGAAGAGACATAGATTTTAAGTGGTTGTTCTTTCCTTTGTGCAGCAGCTGGAAATCTATGTTTTTTCCTGACTTTCCCAGAAGTATCCTTGACTACAATGGGTTGAGAAGCACCCTGGCAGGAACAAGTTTGTTGTTAGTGACCAATTACTCCAGGACGGTGGAGGAGTTGGTGCTTTTTGATTTTTAGGACCAGAGGGAATGGTTTCAAGCTATGGCAGGGGAGATTCAAACTGGACATTAGGAAGTGTTACTTTTCAGAAAGGGTGGTCAGGCACTGGAATGGACTGCCCAGGGAGGTGGTGGAGTCACCGACCCTGGGGGTGTTCAAGGAAAGGCTGGATGTTGTGTTGAGGGACATGGTTTAGTGGGAGCTATTGGGAATAGGTGAACGGTTGGACTGGATGATCTTTTAGGTCTTTTCCAACCTTGGTGATTCTATGATTCTATGATACGTGGAGAAGGGCAGAAGTCAAATGAGCAGGTACTTGTTTCGATACATCTGGTAGAGACTGCAGAAATGGTTACATGACTGACAGGAGTACTAGTGTAATATGGAGGGCCCTACACCCCGAATCACCACAGGCATAGTCAGAGCCACCATCAACATTAAACTATCCAACACTGATGGAAGGGACAAAAAATAGTCAATGTTGCCATTACTTTCCGGCAGAAAAAAATATATTGCATTTTCTTTTCTTTTTGGACTTAGTTTTAGACACTTTATACACAATTTGTTTTGTCTTGTTGGATGCATCTTGGGTTTCTTCCGTCTGTCCAGTTTTAAGCACTTGCCCACTAATTACTGCTTCCTTGATGAAGAGCTTTGCTTTTGGTTTCTGAATTTCATATTGAATTGAGAGCACTCGTATGCTGTCCCAGTGCTGCTCTCAGTATGCCTTCAGGACTCTGAGATGCACCCAGGGTCAGACTCAAACCTCAAAGTGAATAACACGGCACAGTCATGCTGCCTTAGGGCTTCCCAAGCCCTAAGGGCTTCCCAGAGGCCTGGATGCTTGTGTTAGTCATCAACCCAAACCTGACCCACACAGACGGTAGCCTCACAGCCTCTGCTCCCTGTCCCAGGAGAGCTCTCTGTAGCAGCAGTGCTGTGGTAGCTGTTTGTGACAGTCCTACTAACACAGAATGAAGAGAAAAAAGGGATGGCAAAATCAGCATCATGGAGGAAGATGCAGAGAAGCCACAGCGCCTACCATGTCCTGCTTTTTCAGCTGGCAAGGTGACTGAGGGCTGATGGGAGCTGCTACATATACTGGACTGTATGCATACTTTAAGAACCCGCTGCTGGGAACTGACAAGATTTTACATGTACATGAAGCTTTACATTGTCTTACTGGTACCTGAACATCTGCTGCTGCTTAAAAGGCAACTCAGTCCTGACCGACCTACTGAGAAGACCTTGGGTATTGTTTTTTTTTAAAGTAGTGGATAGGTCAAAACGCAAATGCTATTAGAAAAAACTCAAGTAAGCATGTAAATGTTACATTTGTCTCTACCTGCTTCTGATGCCACGCTCCTGCCCATATCTACCTGTTATTCCTTATAGTCAGAACTCCTTAGAACACACAGGTTTTGTTCAGAGTCCAGAGCAGCAGTATTGACTCCCCGGCAGTAACAGTAGTAATAGCATTTCATTAACCTAGTTAGTAGAATCCCTTTGACAAGATACCTGGTTATATTACTAGTAAAAGCCATCTGTATTTCTACAGAACTATCAGTTAATGCTGCTCTCTCTTTCACTAGTGTAGCATAGCTACGATATAATCGTAGATTTTTACTGATAAGATTTCTACTGAGAGAAGCTCAACTGTATTTTCCATCAGCCACGTGACATTAGATACATTAAACGAAAGCTTACTAGCCACCAACCAACAACATAGTGTAAACACCATAAAATATGGAAATGTTCTTCCCTCCAGCTCAGTAGGGCTGCCACTTAGATATTTCTGAAATTTAATTAACATAAACGTCATTATTCCTAACACAGACCATCTTGCAGTGAGCACATTTTCAAGTGCTCAGAGCAAAGCAGAAAGGAGTACAGAAATCCTGAGGAGTTACAAATCATTCCCATATTAGGTACTATTTCCAGAAAGAGCCAGATTCCCAGTTTATCCATTATCATTATGCCTATTTATTGCATATTAAGCATGAGGGATGCGTGTCTAGACTAAAACCCCATTTTTATAGATGCTACATAAGAAAATCATGAGGCAGTCCCTGCAGTGACTCTGTCAGTGGTGCTCAATGCCAGGACCAGAGGCACAAACCAGAACACAGAAGGTTCCCTCTGAACACCAGAAGCACTGCTGTGCTGTGCAGGTGACGGAGCACTGGCACAGAAGCTGTGGAGTCTCCTCCTTGGAGATCTTCCAAAGCTGCCTGGACGTGGCTCTGGACACGCTGCCCCAGGTGTCCCAGCTGGAGCAGAGGTTGGACAAGATGACCTCCAGAGGTCCCTTCCCGCCTCAGCCATCCTGTGATTCTATGCATTTGTTTTCCAATCAGTGTCCAAGCATCGAGCTAAAAAGCCACGAAGGACTTCAAGACATATCTCTACTGCAAAGCATGAGCAAGGTGAACTGCAAAGCCTAAGCTGCCCCTGGATCAGCATCACAGGCTTGGTCAAGGCTTGGTTGAACGAGCTTTGACCTTTCTGATGCCATGTAATCTGGTGTTAACACAAATATACTGCCCAGCCTACTCTTGTTAGCACCTCTGCAGGCTGTGGTGCAGCAGCAGGTGGTGACACCGGTTTTGTGACTGTCAGCCTGGAAACCGCTGGTGCGGGATACATGTGCAAGTCTTTATGCCACTCCATCTGCTGGAGGGCCTTAGTTGCCCTTATTCTATTAAGGTGCTCTGAAGACCCATTTTAAAGGAGGTCACAGAGTGCAGATGGGAAAATCAAGAGGGAAAGGCAGGTGAGACAGTGAGCAGAGGTGAGATCAGACACTGGAATCTAAAGGCATAAGGCAACATTGTTAATGAAGAGGCTTGTGTTTGACAGTCCTGGTTACAAGAAACCTCACTGCAAACAGTGCATATAAAAAATGGCATTGTGAGATCTTTGTATACAAATGCAGTTCAGAGAAGAAAATTACATAAGGAAAACTTTGGCATATTTCTGAATATACACTCTGAAAAACATTCTTGACAGAGCCAGAATGGGCCTGATATATCCAACTCTCATGTGCAGGTCCTCATTCTTATGGTTTAATAATCATAATGAACTATAAGGGGAAGGTAAATAGTCTTCATTCCACACAACTGAGGATAATAATAATACGGAAGAGATTTCAAACATTGGTAATGACTTGTAGAACTGCACATTGCTTAAAACATTGAACGCAAGCCAAGAAATACCCCTCAAGGCTGCAATCAAAAACTGTTTTTGGCTCTACACTGTGAACAGAATTTTTATTTGATCAACAGAGCTATTGCAACAGCCTCACTGTTTAGCCTTTAGAAGCTTGTCTCTGAAGCAGCAGCCCTCACTGCATGGTAAAGCTTGGTGCTAGTGAAACTGCAGCTTCTGCTAATAGCTTTGGGATGGTCATGACAATGACTGAGGAACATCTCAGGTTCTTCTCCTTTTGCTAGTTCAGGAGCCCGTGCAACTTTCCTGGGGAAATAGGGGAGATCTGAGGATAGAAAGAACATTCTTTTAGAGAACAGATGTTGCTTTGGGAGAATGAAATCAACAGGACTGAGTTTTGCAAAGTGTTTCACAGAATCACAGAATCACAGAACTGTAGGGGTTGGAAGGGACCTCCAGAGATCATCGAGTCCAACCCCCCTGCCAAAGCAGGTTCCCTACAGCAGGTCGCACAGGTAGGCATCCAGGCAGGTCTTGAACATCTCCAGAGAAGGAGACTCCACCACCTCCCTGGGCAACCCTGGGCAGTTTCAGAGTTCTGCCCTCAGTAGCTGTACAAATGTAAAGGCAATCCCTGGTGCAGGGACCTTGCAGGCTAAAAAGAACACAGGTAGGTGCCCTCCCACTGCCAGAGAAGAAAAAAATTCCTGCCTGAGAAAACTGGCAGGAAGAGGAGGGAAAACTTGAAAATATTTTTTAACATACGTTTTCAGAAAATGACACACCTCACAATATTTGAGATTTGTTTTTTTTGTTTTTTTTTTTGTTTTTTTGTTAGTGTTGAAATGTGAAAGGTAGGAAACACTTAAATTGAGAAAGCTGATGGCTGATTCATATTCATATCTGCCATCAGAGACATGTTTCCTGCTGGCATCTCTAAGGAAAAGGAAGAGTTTAGAGAAGACAGATAGTTGTTAAGCACAGAGAATGATTTTCAGCGGGGAACAAGAAGCTGTATTGATTCAAGAAAATGAAGGAGTGTTACTGACTACCCCTCAATACAACATACCCTACCTGGATAAATTATTTAGTGACATACAGGAGATTAGTATTTCCAGGCTGATGGCTTGGTGATCTGGCAAACTGGACTTTCTCGAAACATGGGAATAAAATTTAAAAAATTAGCAGGCTCCTGTTCAGCAAAAAGAAACTAATAGGGCAGGAAAGCTGTGATCTGTCGCAGACATGAGAGCTCAGACGTGAAACAGATCCTTAGGAGAAGATCTTCAGGCAAATATGCCATAGGAGAGAGTCCAGAGCCCAGAGAAGCAACTGGGTCCTCACAGAGGCCATGAGCAAAGGAAGGACCAAAACACAACAAAACACTCTAGGCAATCCAGAAATAGTTTGTGTGATACATATAGAGAAGGCACCCCAGTCCTCCTTAAGCACAAAAGTGAGAAGCCCGAAAAGTGCTGGTTCTAGGAGTTCAAACTACCATTAAAAGTCACATGGCTTCTTAAAGTATCAGCTCTGATTTTCATCAATAGTTTGCATTCTTATTATATGAACCTGGTGGGCATTTGCTTTCTGCAGGGTTGCTTTGGATAGGCACAGGCACATTCCCAGCACTGGAGAGATAAAGATCACAATATCTGTACAACCGTTACACCCTTACTGCTGAAAAAACCAACAGACTGGTGGTGTGTTGCATATACAAGCACCAAGCAAACTAAAAGAGAGCAGAGGCCACCCCAGGCGGCTAGGATCAACTCTATGAGCAGTTAAACCCCTTAAAAAGGATTGGCATCTACTTGTGAACAAAAAGTTCATTTGTAATTAAAATCCAATCCCAGGAAGGGTGTGTGTTGCATTTCTTCGAAGCACGTGTGGATTTGGAGCACAATGGGGGAGATCAGCAGTGTTCACACTGCCTTTTATCTTCTGCCCTAATAACCCCCACAGGTGGTGATCGATGCTTGCCATGTTTCCTATGCTTCCTTGTCCATGTGCTGAGGACAAATAGTGCAGCACTGCTTCCATTCATGCTACTGTGCAACCATGAGGATGTGGCTGGGCTCCAGGACTGTAAATACCTCACAGAGATCAGGTGCTGGCCTGGTCCCAGGCCAACTGTAATAGTATAGGATCACAGAGGGATCTCAAAGGCTTGTCCCTTCTCTTGAAAAAGGGCACTCAATCAAGAAGGAGTTCTCCCATTTTCACTGGAACTACTGAGATCTGAGAAGCAGAGAGGTCATAGAAAGATACCACAAGTAGAATCACAGAATATTCCAATTTGGAAGGGACCCATAAGGATCATCGAGTCCAGCTCCTGGTTCCAAACAGGACCACCCAAAAATCACATAGATTTGAGAGAGTTGTCCAAACACTTCTTGAATTCTGGCACTGCCCTGGGGAAACAGGACTACAGTTGTTTTTTGTCTTTCAGTATAAAATTGCCTTCTGCAACCTGCCTTCCCCCCTGGGAGCTCCTGGCTGCCAACCATGTTCAGACTCAGAGCGCCGGGTGGGAGGGAGGTTCTGATGGGATGGCTCCCAGTTACAGCTAACATCTGCTTGTTGAGGAGAGCTGGGAACCAACACTGTCAAACAGCCCCATCCAGTCCGTGCAACATGACTAAACAGATCTGCACAGGCAGATCTCTGCAGACTGAGCGGAAACCAAACACACACAGTGCACTGCAGGCTGGCAAGCAGTCTTTTTTTTTTTTTTTTTCCCCAAATGAAACTCATCCTTCCCTTTTTATTTACTTCCAGTGGGAGGAAAGACTGGAAAAAAAACCTACTGCCTCATCACTGAGGTGTCGCACAGCGTTCCACAGTGCAGCTATGAGGAATTCCGCCCTCCTTCCTAAAAATGAGTACAGCTGGCACTTTGCAAAAGGATGACGAGGAGGAGTCGTCCTTGCAGGAGGAGGCAGAAATCCGTAGGGCAGCCTGGAGCAGGCAGAAGCTCTGCCTCTTGTGTGAGAGAGGAGAGAATTGCTCCAACAAGTTGCATGGGCTCCTACAGCAGCTGTGAATCTGATTCTATAAAAGAACCAAGTTATCAACAACATAATCACATGCCCAGATCACATGGCAACAAGGGCAATGCACAGTAGCAAGCGGTGATTTTTGTTTGTTTGTTTATTTTTGATACAAAATGGGAATGAGAAGTGAAACCTGGGTGGAACTATTCGCTGTGAGGGAAAATAACGTCTTTGCAGCATCTCCTGCCTTTGCTCTTGTTGACCATCTTGAGCACAGAGCTCTCTGGCTTTGCCGAGGCTGTCCAGGCTGCTTTTTTTCCCAGTGCCTCATAGCCCAGGTAGCTATGGTGTGTCTCACCAGGTCTCCCCACCTGAGCTGGGTTAAAGCAGGAGTGCTGCTCACTGCCTGATACAGGTGTGAGTGGCAGCAGCAGTGCTCAGCACAGCTGACTGGCCACCAGCAGGAACAGGCTGGGCGGTGCTGGGGAAAAAAAACCAACAATCTCAGAGTGGGAGGCGTTGAGATTCCAGCCTGGGGAGGGGATGCTGGAAGAAAGTCAGAGTGGAGAAGGCCCTGAGTCACACCAAGGCACCACAACTGCGCTGCAGCCTTCTCAGCCTCATTGCAGCTGGGACCAGTACTGGCCTCTCTCAGGCAGTGGTAGGAAAGAAATCCAGGTTGCTGCCTGCGTCCTTCAGCCCATGGTGATTTAGACCTCCCTGGAGAGCAGGGCCTCACTGGCAGACCAGCTTCAAAACAGATCTTTAGCTGTCTGGTTGGCTTTTACCACCACAGCTGGTTATTTTTTTCAGACACACCATGTACTTTCAAATCATCCCATCTTGAAGCGTCTCAAAGTGAAACAGCGTGTTTTAACTCACAGAAACCTTTTTGAGTTCTGCACTGTTCCATCTCCACCTCTCTTCTTGCTCTATGTGGCACAGACCCCAAAGACTCAAACCAGCAAAGGAACCAGTTTGTTATACTGACGGTTTCCAAAGGAAAACTGTAATTTCTTTTCCTGCTTCTCTCCTATGATATCTATAGATCTGCAAGTCTTATGCTGGGGACTCATTTTCTACAATCCTATTCACAGCAGCCACAGATTATCGCAGTGAGAAAAAATAACAGCAGGTCAGCAAGCTGCCTGCCTGCCTCTTTCCTTGCAGGGATCACAGCAAATCAGCCTTCCACTGGCAAAAGGCTTTGCTGTGTTATAGCAGCAGGGAGGGCCTCACGGAGACGCAGGTTCTCCTGGCAAGGCTCAGCTTTACTGATGAACTGTACATGCACACATGGAAACACTACTGTAGTGAAACAGCATAAGCATGCCCACTCAAAGCTGGAAGGGCTGCTTGGGCCCAGGACCCTGCCTCCTCCTGCCCTAAGCCACAGGACTCTGAGCTGCAGGACACGCTCAGCTCAGCTGTTTCCTTTTAACTACTCCAGCATGATTAAAGTAGCACAGACCCAAATGTGGCTACAGCGATACTACTGTAAAAACACAGGAAAGAAAACTAGTTTAACAGAGCATAGCACCTTTGTGCTAGTACTGAGTGTGCACGCTGCTACTTGAACCAGCACCAGCCTCCTTGAAAAGTACAAATTGTCTGTTTAACTGAAAGTCCTGTACCAGCACTGTGGGGGAGGTGACACCTGTGAGCTGTGGCAGGAAGAGTTTGCATCCTGCAAAGTATCCTTCTGGTTTACAGGAACCAGAAATGTAAAGGAGGATATTTGGCTTTCTTTAAAAAATAGCCTGCTCTAAAGAATGCCTTTTTCAACCACAAGAGGATACAAGATGGAAGGGATACAGGCCCTAATAACCCACCTGGAAATACTTTGTATGGAAAAGCTGTTCAGCAAGTTTGGGGATTATGCCAAAGAATTATCAGACAAGCCTTGCTTGATTTGGGTTTGTGGGCAGCTTTTTACAGCCCAGCAGGATTTCCCAAAGCTGAGGTGCTTTTAAGCTGCCCTTGTATGTGCCTGGCCCTTATTGCAGCCCTGGCTGCTGGCCAAAAGGATTCTGTTTGTGAGAGAGTGAACAAGAAAGGATCATTATGACTTGGAAGATGCTCAGCTCTTGCTCACTGAAGACTCTGGAGATGCAGAATGGGATAGAAAATTAATCAAAATGTGGGAGCCAGTAGAGTGATGGCACGGTCCTGAAAATTTCAGCTATTTTGGATATTGTTTTGCAGACTATGGAACAACTTGCATACAGAAGTAAGCAAACTTTGGATGCAGGAGGATAAAAGGCTTCCGGCAAGATTTGTGTGTATCTCCAGCTCTCAGGCAGTCACACATCAGCAGATCTTTACCCTGACATGGAGTGGGTTCCAGTAGCTGCTTAACAGCTGTGGCTCCACTCCTAATCCTTCATGGTCACAAGTTACCATATGGGCTGGGGAGCAGGAACAGTGTGTTAAAGCACCAGAGTTTTCAGAGGTCTGCAGCAGAACCTCTGCTGTCCTCTCTTCAAGAGGAGGGAAAGCAGTGCAATGGAAAGGAAAAGAAAGAAAATAGCTACTGTAGTTTTTCAAGTTTGAAAGGATGACTATAAAAACCATCCAACCTCCTGCAGACCAAGACATCTGAACTCTGACATCCATGAGGCTCCCTGGCAGCACTTCCAAATGAAAAGTTATGGATTTTTGAGCAACCTTGGTTTGGGGGGGAAAAAGGGGTGGGGAAAAGAAAGGAAGAAAAAAAATTAAGCTCCATGGAAAGCTGCCATTCTTCATTGAATCAAAAATAGAACTTCTTGGAAGTTTACCAAGCAGGCATTTTTGTGTGGAAAACACTAACTCTTCAGATTGGGCACTGTCCCAAGGAAAAATACACACCAGTTTTGGACAGGGATAGAGTTAGGAGTCTAGATGCAATAGAGAGACTCATTCACTCTAAAATACTTGCCAAAGAGTCCTGCTATGGCAGGACATGAGACACTTGCAGCGCCTGCTGTTTTTCTGTAGCACATAATAGGTCTGTCTATAAGTCTCTGACTATGCATCCACAAGGCTTATGGGAAGCATTAGTGAGTCCTGGAGCACAGCTTGCCTGTTACAGTCAGTGGAAATCCAGTCACTACAGTTACTGGGGTCCCATGAGCATTTATTTGAGCTTGACACTTGCATTTGAACAGATGACTTATGCCCTGTGCCACACTGAAGTGATGAAGGCTGAAGGGAAGGATGTCAGAGTGATTTTTCAGAGCAGGTAACAGGAATGTTTTGTTTAGTCAAAGTGTCATGTTTAGAATGAGGCAAGGCACAGAAGGAGTAAGAAACAAGCAAAGAAACTGGCTGTTCCCTGGGCTGAGATGGGATTTGCTAAAATGATTTTGATGCTGCTAAAATGATTCTTAGGCAGTGTTCCACACTTGTTATTTCTTCTTGCCGTGAGTCTTTGGGCAATGGACTAGGACAGGAAACAGGACAACAGATTTTATCTCAAGGGGCTTCCTCCACCCATTGAAAAGTCCCAGACCTATCCTTGCTCTGTATTTGATCTCTTTCACTGTAAGGAAATTTTTCTTGTAGTTCTCTTTGAACTCTCCCACTTTCTGCAATGCTTGTCTTAACGGTATCAGAGTACCCACCTTCTCCATCTGCTTGGCTGCACACACTTGCCCATGCAGTTCCTTTCCCCCATGTTTCACCCTTTGCTGAAACACAGTGCTGTTTTCAGTGAGTCAAAACCTAAGAAGCATTGAGACCACCTAACTTTCACCTAGAGAAGGCAGGTGATTAAATTCCTCTTTGCTTCTGTACTGTGAACAAATTCTTTTTCCTGATGGGTTTGTATTCCCACAAACCACACATCTTTGCCGTTGGAGCCACACAACATGCATATTCCCAGATAGTACAGTCTTCCACCTGGGCCTGCACTGAGAATATCTGATTGTTTCTCTTTTATTTGAAGGGAGAATCCTGTGTTAGTATTCTTGCCTGGGGCACAGCACAGCTCTTGAACAGGACTAGTATTTCTGGTTTCTTTACAGTACTGGCTTTATCAGCCAGAAGAAAGCTGAAGTTTTTTCCAAAGAGGGTCACAACAGGCTTTGCTGGAGCCTCACACCAGTCTAAGTGCCTGAGACTGCACCACAAGTGTGGCTACTTGTGCAAGCAGCCTCTTGCCATAAACAAAACAGCTCCATCTCCTCTTCCTTCTGTACTTTCATGCTCCAGTTGCTCAGGATGGCAGAAATCGCACAGGACTTGGCAGAGCAAGAGCTACATGTATATTTGTCTCTGTATGTATGCAGGTATATGCATATTAAATATGCATGTGTATTAAAGGTAGACTAAATGGAGTTGTTTTGTTGTTGTTGTTTCGTTTTTGAGTTGAATAAATCTAGGACTTTTGCTGCTAACTTCCACAGTATAAAGGGGCACAGTAGAGCTAACCTCCCCATTGTATTGTCCCTAACAGAGCAAGAGAACCAGTCTCAGGCATACCTGTATCAGCTCAAGGCTGCATTCCCTGGAGGAAGTCAAATGAAAGGCTCTGTGCCTGTCTGACAGCCTGTCACTTGCCCAGAGATGCTCAAGAAAGACTAACCCCGAAAGAGCTAGTGAGAAGAAAGATATTAGTAATGTACTGAGAAGGGCCCTGAGAAGAGGAAGCAGAGGTGGACAGAGGAGACAAGCCTGTTCCTCTGTCCACCTGTTGAAGTTTTCAAGCTCAGAAAGGCAGATGATGTTCTTGATCATCATGCAACACGGAAGAGGCTGAGTGCAGGGAAAAGGGTAGAATGCTCCCAAGGAGCTGTACAGATCCTTGGCTGCAAGGATCCTGCATCAAGGTGTGAGCAGACAGATCAGGATAACAACTGAGCAGAAAAATTACACTAGATATTTTTTATCAACTGAGAAAGCATTGGAAGGTGGTGATTGACCCTCAGGAAAAGGGTGACTTAGAAAGCAGCTGTGATAAGGGAGTGGAGATGCTAATAATGCGTTCTGTCATGGGCTGGCATGTGCTCCGTCACGTTCAGATGGCCAAAGCTTAGGGAGCTGATTCGCTCTTCTTTTTATGGGCTGGCAACTTGTGCTGATGCAGGCAGATAGTCTCAATATTGTCATAAAAGCACAGCAGCTTTGAGAAAAATAGGGATTAGGAAGAAACTTTGTGAAACAGTCCATGAAGTTCTGAAGTTCTCTCCCAACCCTCATTAGATGCCAGTTCTCTTACTATAAGATTTCTATTCCAAAGTTTATATCCTTCCCAACCCTCTTCCCCAGCAGTATCCTCCTTTTCCCCTTCCTCCTGCCCACTCCGCAGCTCTTTCTGCCCTCCTCAGGCTGCGGCAAGTAAGTGAGGGGCAGGTCGTCTTTCTTTAGCAGAGGGCTGTATAGGTAGTGGGCACAGATGAGCTTTTTAGACCAGAAACATCTGGTTTTGTTTTTTTGGGGTACAAACAAAACAGGAAGTCTGCTATTGACCAAGGTGTAGTCACGCTTGTGGAAGCCACTGCAGCTCCTCAATGCTCATGACAGCCATGCGCAGAGGACCCTGAGAATGAGGAGGCTGTAAAAAAAAGCTCTGGATATGGCTAGCTTTTCTCTGAAATGCCTGACATCCATGAACATGGTAACCACAAGTTTGTTCATTTTAAGTACAACAGCATGGGAGAGAAGTGCACAGGGAGAAATCATACTCCCACTGCCGGTGATGTGAGGACAGCAGCAAGGGAATACTCCTGCCAGGGATTTTACCTTGCAGCAACCAGTTCTGCTCTTACTCTTTCCTGGGAAGGACCGGACTTGCAAGGCACCAAAGACAGCAGTCAAATCCAGCACTGTGCATGTAACTCACCAAGTGTAAGGGGGACACAACTGTGGGTGGACTAGAAGAGCGTGTGCAGTTATTTGGGGTGAGAAGCGATGTGGCTGCCTGCCCACCAGCCCTGCACTACCATGTGATCTGTGCAAGGAGATCTCACAGTGCTGCAGGGCAGAGAGGACTAAGCAACATGATCTAGATATAAAGCACCACAGGACAGCAGGGTGATGGTCAGACACATGCCCACACAACCCCCAAGGCCTACAAACTCTTTACTCAATGGATTTACTGTGGCTTTACAAGGAAAGATTATTTATTAAGATCATCTTTTTTTTCTTTTTTCTCTATAAAGGAAAATGTGGCCCCTCATCAGAAATGTAAGGCATTTCATATACAGTAAAGCTGCTGTGTCAGGAAGTACAGAACAAACCCACATCTCATCAGAACTAACCTGCTTTTAGCTTTGCATCCAAAAATATTAGTCCACTTATTGCCCATTAAAAATTCCCTTTGTCTCTTCTCAGTTGCGGTGCAATGCTTGAGATGTTAAAGCTGGCACTGTCAGCCTTTAAAGTAATGTTAGAGATTTATTTACTCATTAACTTTCAAATGCAGGACACTTTCAAAACCTTCTCCTGAGGGCATCCCTGTGTTCTGTTTCAGAGAGTTACTGTTGTTTTCCCACCTACCCTGAAGGGCTGTTTACGATAGCATCTCTCCCTTTTAATCCTCTTTTCCTTTCATGTCTAACAAACAGCGTTAAACAGAACACAGAGGGAAAAGACAGATCTCACACATTACAATCAGCTATATTTATCTGAAGAAAAGAAATGCTTTGCAATTAGAGATCTCATTTTGTAAATTAATGCTCAAGAAGCTTTTTCCTATGCATTTTCCAGATAAAACCAAGCCCTAGGTTTGAATGGATAGAAGCTCAGATGAAGGGTTGTTAGAACTCCATCCTGTGAATTGATGCACACTCTGTACAGTGACTGGGCTTCCACAGAAATGATTTGTTTTAGGAGAGCCTACGCAGAGGATGGTACACACAGACGTGGGCAGTACTGACATGTTGAACTGTGACAGAAAACTCTGTTTCAAAAGTGGCCATTGTCTATGGTGTTTTTTCACAGGATGCCTTGATTTCTCCACCTCTCTTTGCCCTACATCTGAGCACATTCAGACTGTGAATATATTGATCTTTGCAGCCTTTCTGTGGGGCAGTGTGGGACTTCACTTTACACAGAACTGAGAGGAAAAGACCAAAGCTACCATTTCATGAACACTTCTTTCGGCATCGGTGCCAACATAAGCAGTTCCTGATCTCCCCTTCCCCTATCCCAGCAGTTACTCGCTCCTCAGTTGTGCCATTTCAGAGTTGTGTGTGAAACAAATTGCAGACCACATCCAGGTTAAAAATAGCTGGAAAAGACAGAGAGGGAGAGAAATGATTTCCAGAACCTGGACTGACATCCTAAAGGTACATCCAAGGCCAATATGACAGAACATTTTAGCTCAGATTCAGTGTGCCCATCCAGCTCCATTAGTAATTTCACCTGTTTTCCTCTAGAACAGAAAGGTAGAAGTTGCACTGACTTCCTTGCTAAATTTTGCGGTTGGCTGGGCAAGGGACAGAGACCTTAGTTAGAGAAATGCAGCCAGCAGCTGACTAGTTGGTGCAGGCAGGCAGGCTGACCATGCACATGTTAGCTGGTTAGCTGGCACCTACAGATCAGAGTACTGCTCAGCAAAGAAACATAAGGCACACAGGGAGGGGAGAGCTGGGCTTGTTGTCTGTGGGAGGAATGAGGAGAAAGGGTCACAGACCCGTGGGAAACCAAGTGTTATTAGCTCCACTGCTCACTTTTTTGTTACAAAAAAAAAAAAAGCAAAATTGTACAAGTAAGAGCTCTTCTACCACTGAGCCTGTAAATTAAACAAATAATTTATCCTCCAATTTGTGAGGAAGCTGTAAGCTCAGTCTCAGATTCCTGTTCAGACTCCAGCAACCACTTCTGCTTTTAGCACTCTGAACACAAATGAAAACCACAGATACTGATTTCTTTCCCATACTCAAACGTCACTTGAAGCCCTTGTTTCTCCTGAATAACTCTCTAAGGCACTTGCTCTATCTCTGTTCCTACCTGCCTTCTTTTTAATCCACAACAGCTTGCCAAGAGCTCTGCTCTGTTCTCTTCGTTCATGTTCTTCCTGCCTTCATTCAGGCTGATCCACGGCCTCAAGCTTTGGTGCTGATTGGAACACAAATGCAAAGTACCTGATGGGCCTTACACTGAGAGCTGCGAAAGGACTGCTTGCTTTAGGAACTGCCTTTGTCAGGCACAGACTGTGCATTGATTGTGTGGATGAACCCAGAATGAGCACTTAGCAGATTGACACTGTGGCAGTCTCACTACTAGCAGGTGTTTTGAGCATCTTAATAGCCAAAAAAGGAGTATTCTGGTATTGATGAAAACAAGCTCTTCTTGCCTGTCTCTTTTCAGCAGGAGACCTTTTGCTGGGCAGCAGAGGGGACAGGGTGGGATGGGAGCCACAGGGTGGGACAGGAGCCAGGGATCACTCAATGAACTGTGGCTGTAGTGGAAAGCAGAAGCAGAAGGGTCCTTATGTCTGGTTGCTCACATCTTTCCAGTAGTCCTCATGAATGAAGCTTTCTCCATCGGCTCTGGCACTTTGAGGTGCCAGTAGTAGAGATTATCATTACCATAATAGGCCTTGGACTTCTGCAAATGGGAAACCAGGGGTTTGGGGCTGGTGGGGATTTTCCTGATGTTGTGGGAAATCCCCAGGTGGCAATAATCCAGCATAATGGGCTCTGTGCCACCCCCTCTGCAGACACCCAGGAACATTACTGGGAGCTGCACTCAGTGTAATCTGTTTGCAGGTATGGTGCAGATCTGAGATGACTCCCAGAGGATCTGTCTGCATTAATTCATGGCCACTGCACATCCAAGGGTTTGATCCCACTCATGCACTGGAAAAGCTGCTGGGGGTCAGCTCAGCTCCTGCAAGAAGAGGGTCTGCACAGGGCTTTCTAGCACTGATGGCACTTCCTGAACTAGTTTATTTATGGATTTGTTTTTCTCAAATAGAAGAATATGTAAAGCCATTATGAAAAGGCACTGCAGTGCAACTGTAAACCAGGCACAGCCAAGTAGGAGGTGCTGGGGAACCCTTACCAACATGGAGCAGGCACATGCAGAGCGAAGCAGTCCTTATATTGCTGAGATGGTAGGATCTGGTATTATCCTCTGGCAACTACTGAATCTGGGGAAGCGATGGCAAGGGAATATGATCAGAAAGCTGGCATAAACATTGAAACTGGTGCATCAAAGATCTCCTCTCCTCCAGTCACATTTTATCAGTACCATTTTATTCTACGTGTCTATAAACAACAAAATCATTACTGATAAAACTTGCCTTAAGCAACAAGACACATGCTAACAATAAAGCACTAAGAGACATATTTTCAGAAGTGTGTGTGCAGAAATGCCTATTGTACAATGTACAAGCAGCATGTGGTCTGGATGTGGCAAGCAGCAAAGGGAGAGGAAAAGGGGAACAGATGGAACCTGTATATGAGTGACAAGATTGAACGTAAGCTCAGATCAAGTTCTGCAGTATGCAGAGGCTGAGCTTGAAAAGCCTTAAATAATAACCACATTTTAAGGAGGACTGTATCAATGAGGCACACGGATGAGTGTGGTGAATTGTAAAACTGCAGAGGACACAGCAGTGGAGACAGTGATATATATAGAACACATGAGAGGTTCGGTCTGACATGCTGGCTGTGCGTACAATCAAAGGTGTGCGCATTTCAGAAACATCAGCATCCCTGAAACCTCAGTGACTTAGCAATAAAACATCAGGAAACAATAAATCAGGGCCAGAAAGGTCTGAGAATTCCACACAGCTGAAATAAAGATTGAGCAAGAGGAATTAACATCAAGAAACCAGATTCAGATGTTTAAAGCTGATTGTCTGAACCAAGTTAATATAATGTACCATGTTTCACTTCAAAACGTTTGGATCATGCAGCTGGGGAGCCCTTCCCACAGTTGTGAAATGCAGCAGCCCACTTTATCTGAGAGTGTCTGGATATGAGCAGGGTATAAACAATGAATTGGGATTACAGTCTTTACTATTCCGGTCTAGTTTTGCTATTTCCCTGGGCCACTAGCACAGAAAGCCCAGCAGTGAGGCTGCACAAAGCTCCCATCTTCACATATTCTGGAACTGCCCACTCCATCCATCTCCCTTTGAACTGAAAACGCTGTCTCTCTTTTTCATGACTCTGAACCATTTTGCCGATCAGCATCCCTTGCTCTCTTATTTTCAACATATTCAGGCATCTATTCAGCTATCTAGTCCTTCCAAGAAAAATTATCCTCTTTCCTTCCCTTTCACCATTTCCAGTGCTGAAGTTCAGCTCTCTAGAAAAGTATATTTACAAACCTGAAGCAGTACAGAACAATCACGTTTTCACTCCTTTTTGTGCATGCACAAAAGAAGTCTTTACTTGTATTCACCTGTGTGAGGTTTGCACACTTTCAGTGCTAAACTTTTGATTCTAGCAAATCTCACATGGCTTTATATGAACTTACAGTACACACGCATTGCATAAGCTCCTTCAGCTGAGTGAAGTAATCCAAGAGGCTGAAAGTGGCTGCCCGAAAACTGAATAACCACACCTCCTCGTGGGGAATGAAGATCCCATTGTTAAAGAGGGTTTTGCAGCCTGGCAATTCATTTGGTTCCTAGCTCTGTTGAATTACATTGCTAGTGGGAGTGGCTCTTCCCTGGGATGAGATAACACACTCAGCAGTCCTTGGATGTGAAACTAATTAACTGGAGACAAGTGTTGATGCTGTAACAATACTCCTCCATGCACTATCTATTCATGGTAACCACTTTTTGATTGGGGTGAGGTTGTACAGAAAAAAAACCAGACAATGCTGATATTAAGGTCTCAGATCCCAGATCTTCCCCCCCTCTATTCACATGTGTTTTCATGGCAGCTGTACATGCATAATGCTGTTATGGGATAAAAATCTCTCTGGCACATCTCTGGTGAAGCTTAAGACAAATTTGACACTGTGATTTATGTCGTAAACAAAACAGACCAGGGTGTGTTCTCTCGCCCTTCAGCAAGTGGCAGAGCCCTTATATACAGCAAGCTCCCCTCCCACGGCCACCCCCGGAACAAAAAGCTGGCTTTATCCAAGCCTGGAGGAACAGCGTCTCCGGAGGGCTCAGAGGCGATGGCCAAGCTGTGCTGGGAGACATGAGGGCAGCAAAGCAGTGTGGCTGTGCTGCTGGGACTGTCCTGATCCCATCTGTTTTACAGGGTACGTACAGCCAGGAAAATCTCGCTGCTGTTTCATAGTTTCTCCAGCACTTCCTAAGTTCAGAAAGCTCTGTTTAAAGATCAGGGTCTCTGATCATTCCAAGCTGAAGTGCACAGCCTCTGCTACGGGAAGTTGGTTGGGTTCTGCTCCATTGCTGATTGCTCAGAATTTCCATCCAAAGGTCCTTCCTATTTCCTTTTTAGACATGCACAGTGTAACACTCAGACAGACTGCACAAATTTACCAAAAGGGTGACAAGAGAGGACATCTTGCCACCTGGGTCAGGCGTTCCCTGATGCTTTGTCAGGTGCCCGTACCCACAGTGTGGAGGTCCTAAAGGGCACTGATGGTTTCCTGAGCTGTGTGCCCAGAGCCCCTATCCCTCTAGGAACTCCTCCTGCTATCGTCAGGCAGCAGCACTTAGTGGCTGGGGTGGTGTACATCCCGTGTCCCTGGCATGGGATGAAACCTCCAGGAGGGATTCCATGGATGGATATGAACACAGCCCCACTAGAAACAGAAGTGGGGTCTGCTCCCACTTCACACGTGCCACACAGGAAGGAAGGACTTGCTTCATGGAGCTCATATCTCCCAACAAGCTTCAGCCTTGAGACCTCCAATCCATATGGCACACTACTGCACTTGGAGACCTCCCAGCCATACAGCACTCAATCCATACATGAGGCTCCAATCCATACAGCACCCAATAATATCTGTGGACATCCTAGCTCTATGCACCCAACGGTACCTGGCAGTGGTGCTGAAGCCTGCAGCACTGCTGCCTCACTGCAGTGATGCACAGGAGCTCTCATTATCCCTGGTACCTTTTCTTGTCCCATTCATCAGCATGGAGAGTACATGGTGCCAGCCACATTGCAGCTGCACAGGAGATGCAGCATCTAAAAGCAAACCTCCTTTGCTTTCCCCTTGCAAATCATATTGCACTTGCCACTAAAATGACCAAAAGTACCCAATGACGTCACCCATCAGCTATACAGAAGCTCAAAATAGGCAAATTCCATGTGGAAATCACCCAAGCAAATAAGCTCGTCTTAATGCTTAAAAGAATATGCCAGATCGGGTTCCTCTCTTCCAGGCCATGATTCACTCCCCATTTAGTCCTGGCTAACCACATCATGGGAGCTTTGGGATAAGAACTATATTATTCTTTGCTCTGATGCAGGAAGGCTCTGATGTGCTTCGGAATGTCTCAGGGTTGTTGCAATTAAAATTCTTGCTAATTTCACAGAGGAGGCATTTTCATTTGTTGCCTTTTTACAGATGGCTTTAGCAGTCCCAGACCACCAGAGTCACAGCACAAAGAAATCAATGAACTCCTTGGCATGGTGCTTTCCTTGCTTGAATTTGCATCAAGCTTGTTTACAGTCTGTGGGCCAGGAGAAAGGGGTCATTTATAATATGTACCCAAGCATTGCTTGCCTGCATTTTAGGAGTCAGCAACTCTGATAAATTCTTGACGCAGCTTGCAAGCACAGCTAAGGCTCTATCTTCTGCCTACTGCAGGAAGCTAGTTACTGTATCAAAGATCAGAGTTGTTCATAACAACACAGGAAGGTTATATATACAAGCACAAAGGAACAAGGATGCAAGGTTTTGCTGCTGTGCACTACTGGTCTCTAAATTTGACCATAAACTGCTTGAATCAATTCAAAACAAAACACTTGCTGCAGCACCACCCAGATTACTCATAGACTAATTCTCCTCTTGCAGAGACAAGACACTCCATTATCAAGATGTTTGTTTGATACGACTTTGAAAAGACGAGTTTATCTAAAATTGCATTAGAGTCTTATTTAGAGAGTGTAATGACCTTAAGTGGCTGTGCTTTAAAAAGGCTAACAAAATAGTACATAATCTCAAATGGGCACACATTGCAAGGAAGTAATTTCCCTCTGTTACACACACAGCATCTGTGGAACAGGCAAATGTTTATCAGGAACTGAAGCTCATCAAATCAGTTAATTATTTCATGGAAATGAATGAAGAGAAGGCTATGTATTATTTATATATTTCCAAAAAATCACAAATGCAGACAGGACCTTTTCAGAAGACATTCCTGCAATTGAGTGTTGATGGGATAAAAACCAGCAAGGAATTACTGCTAAGAAATCTTTAGTCAGCTCTGGCAGATCTGATGCAAACCTAAGTGTTGCAGGAGTCACGTGCTGCAGAACTGACACAGAAGAAAAGACCAGTGGAGGAATGCAGCCAAGTGTGTTTCCTCTCTCTTCTCTCTCCTCCTCTCCATTAAATGATAGGAAATCTGAGAAAAGACAAATAAGCCAGGTTTTAAAACTGTTTCAGCGCCTCTCAGGGGCTCTTGCACACAGACAACATTCACACTTGGGGCTTATTTCCTTTAGTTTCTGCTCTTTCTGCATCCCTATTCTGTTCCGGTTTACAGTCTCCAGCTCCCTGTACAAACAGGATCTTTCCTCAACAGTGTGCAGCCACATCATCTTCCTTCCTTTGTATATAGGCTGATACTGTGACACCATGCTGCTTCCTAAGCACCTCGTTTCTCAATGCTAGCAAAAACAGGAACCAAAAGCAAAGCAGCAATAAAACACTAAATCCTTACCACAGCTTCAAGTCGAACCCTTAAAAGTTTCTGAATCGAGATGACTTTTCAGCCAACTGATTTTTCTAGCTCAGTGTGCTGTGCACCACGCTGCACAATCAGCCCAGATGAAGCACTGAGACATTTTGCCAGATGCAAATGCTCCTGTAAGGTCTGTGCCACCGACCCACACTTTTTCCCCTTCTTTCAAGTGTGGTGAAAAGTGAAGCCAGCTGAGCAAAGTGCATGTGGCGTCTCTGTTAACCTTTTCTCTCCTCTCCTGCAAATCCTGCTGTTTGATTTTTTGCTCTGAGGAGATTAGATAGCATGTCTTCAGGGAGAAGAGAAAACCACAGAGCACGGTGCACATTGCACAAATGCTCTTGTTATTCTGAGGCCTGAAAAAACAAGGAAGGAAGCTTGAGGCTGGTGGTTTGGCAGGTGTGAGGCGTTTTTTTACACAGACATCTGTTTTAAGTGGTAGCTCTGGGCTGGGGGATGAGCACAATGCCCATCATCCCCTTACTGTGGAGCGGCACAAGGGTTTGAGGCTTCAGAAGAACCAATGGCTCTGTGCCTCCTGCTTCCTTACACTGTGACTTGGGATGCTACTCTGCTGTATTTGTGGGGTAGGGCTGCAAAGGGAGAGAATTTCTGTTGCAAACCGACAACTGGCTAATGCAGCTGTTCCTCTGATGCATTAGGCAGAGGTTTCTGCTGCTGCACTGGCACTCACAAAATGGATGAGGGTGAGTACAAAATGGGTGAAGGAGAATACATACGCTGAGCTCAACGTAAAGATCTGATGAAAACAGTTTGGATGCTACCGCGTATACCACATCAAAATTCACTTTTCTAATCCCACAAGATTATTTCTAGTGGTTTGGGTAACACTGCTGGTAATCCCTTCACAGCTTTGAATGAACTGCCTCCTTTGGCAGGATGCTAAGACACGCTCTGCTACGTCTTGCCCTGAGTTTGGAGGAATTCATTAGTGCCTGGCAGTTATTACCTATTTTAAAATGTATCTGTGATCTCTACGTTATAAACAATCTGCAAAAGAACTGCAGCTTTTAGGGCAGGATCCTGCTCTGCTACAAGGCATGCAGGGAGGAAAACGGGACTTGCACAACATCCTCTCCAGTGGGGATTCTCTGGGGCAACTGTGCCTTGAGCCACATTATTATTTTAAATGACAATAAGCTCTTTCTCCAGCAGCTGACTGTCGACTTTAATGAACGTTTAGCAACTTAATTACCTTTAAAACCGTTAGTGGTCTGTTAAAGATTGCTGGAGTTGATCTGTGCACTCCAAAGTGACTGGGGAAGGGCAGATGGGAAGGAAGACATGCTGAAACGCATGTATGCAGCTGCCATGCGAATCGCAGAAGCCTCATTTCCAAAAGAACTCAAGATGAAGTCATTTCAAGGTGAGGGACTGTGGTTAATCCGTCATTAATACGCTCATTAATACGTCCCCAAACTCATTGCTATGTGTGCTGCAGGAAAGCCATCTGCACACAGCTGCAGCTGAGGGGATGAGCAGAACACATCAGCGGTGTGTCCTGAGGTTCTGCTAGATGAGCAAAATACCTGAGAAATAAAGGGTGTTGGCATTTTGCAGTTCTTGGAAGAATTTGGAGGTTTCTAGAGCGCATGGAAGATAACTTCCTGACCCATCTCAAATACCGTGTTCACTTTCAGGCCCCTCACTACAAGGACATGGAGGCCCTGGAGTGTGTCCAGAGAGGGGCAACAAAGCTGGGAGGGGTGGAGCAGCTTAAGGAGCTAGAACTGTTCAGTCTGGAGAAGAGGAGGCTCAGGGGTGACCTTACTGCTCTGTACAACTGCTTGAATGGAGGTCGTGATGCTGTGGGGGTCAACCTCTTCTCCCATGTAACAGCAACAGAATGAGAGGGAATGGCCTCAAGTTGCACCAGAGGAGATTCAGGTTGAATGTTAGGAAATACCTCTTCACAAAGAGAGTGGTCAGGCGCTGGAATGGACTGCCCAGGGAGGTGGTGGAGTCACCATTCATGGAGGCGTTCAAGAAACGCTTAGATGTTGTACTGAGGGACCACGTCCCTTGCAGTGCACCTGCGAGGAGCACTGTTACACAGGTCAGAGAAATCTAACAAACTCAGGCAGTTTGACTCCAAAATAACATTTTATGTTCTAAAGATTAAAAAAAGAAAGACAGACGATGAATCCTAACATTCCTGGTTTGGTATATTAGTTTTCTTTCCTCTTTTTGTTTGTTAGGTTTTCTTTTCTATTTGTAAAGTAACAGCAACGAGAACCTTCCCAGTTCACACTGTGGCCCTAAATGGTACTACTAACATATGGTTGCAGTCAGACAACACCTTCAGTAGGAAATGGCACCTTGTTACTTCCCAGATTATCTGCTCCCTATGGGGTAAATATCTCCAACATCAGGAATGTTTAGCATCAACATTCCTATTAAAGTAAATGGGATTTGAGTGAGGGTAAATCCAAGTGTGCAGTGCTGGGATGTTATACTTATAAATCTTCTGTGTCTTGTGCTATCTACTTTATTTGCTGACAAAAGACAAGCATTTGCTGCCAGCATAGGCTTCAGTAAGCACAAAAGGAGGGTGTGTGTTCAGCACTGCTTCCTGTAATGCTGACTGCAGCTATAGCAAGGAAGCATGAAGCAGGAAGAATTACAAGGCATTCCTCAGCTCCTCAGCAGCGCTGCAGCTGTGAGAGGGGAAGGAATCCGGCTTTCCGCTGCAAAGTGTGCTCTTCACCTCTGAACTGCAGTTACATGGCAGTCAAGCTCCCTTTTACAACAGCAGCACAGCTTTGTGGGCCTCTTCAAGGTTACTGCTCTCATATTACGCAATTTGTCTGAAAATTCTGTTTCTTCTGCTCGTGTCCATCCCACTCTGGGAGTGGTGGAGAAGCACCTCAATTTACTGAGCAGCAAAGGCTTGGACAGGCCCTTTCCTTTGGATTACTACCTAAAAACAAAGGGCTTAAAGAACTTGTCTGATTTTGGAAAGAAACATACATATATATATAACCTGGTAAGTGTAACCTGAATGTGCAGGACAATAAAGCAGCACTTTGTCACTTTGCTAGATGACGTGTGGCTATGCCTGGTAGGGGGAAGAAAAGGGAAAAGAATTAACTCAGTGTGCACTGTGATCTCACCTCTGATGTGTATTTAACATGATATTCAATGAGCTGAAACTTTGGTCTGGAGAGCCCCCTTGAACTAGGAATGGAGCAAGACTGGTAGAAAAGAGTTTTATTAACCAAACCGTCTCAAAGGGAAAACAAGGCTTTGGAGACACAAGCTCTTCCAATCTGAAACAAGTTTTGAAGAAGGGCTGTGAGGAGATCTGCACTGGTCAGCTGGTCTAATAAAAGTTCTTATATCCACATACAAATTATGTCTTGCTTATAGCCTGACATCATTACTACTGCAAATTACTGAAACGATATCCAAAACGGGATATCATTGCTTTAAAGGCAGTCTGTAAAGTTAACTTGCGTTCTTCCTTTCTCCGGTGCAAACCCCAGTGTGACTATCTCCTTTTGTTCTTGTATGAGCTACTGATGGCAGCTGCTCTGGAGAACAAGGCCCTAGCTCTGCCCCGAGGCACTTATTCCCTGGGGATAACACTGGGTCACCCTCAGTGCACAAGTGGTCTGAGTCTGCTCCTTTCTGCTTGGGAATGATTTCATATATCTCCAAGGTATCAACATTCACTGCAGAACTATTCGGCTCCAGCACAGATGATTCTGGTTCCTGATTCTGGCAGCCTGGGGACTACAGGAATGTGCAGTTTCACAACTGGTCTAAGCTGATCCACTGCTGATCTCCTGCCAAAAGGCAGTTCTCCCAGCCACGTGCCCATGCTCCCTCTGCGCTGACACTTGTGTTCCTTTGGCTGGGCAGACTGTGGCTTCGGGGGCTGACTGGTCTCAGAGCAATCCTCCCTTCTTCCTCTCCCTTTGGTAGACTTAATCTTTGTGTGGTTCAGCTTGCTGGCTGGGCTGTGCACCTGATAAGGGCTTTCAAGGTATCTTGCAGACCTTCCCAAAAGCTGTGGGGGGTTAGGGCAGGCAGCTGCCTTGGGATGGGATGCATGCATTCCTCCATTCCTTTGAACATAAAGAAAATGGGTTTAACAGCCATGTGTTACATAATGGTGCCATACATCTGATATACATGTAACTGAGGGGTTTTCCTATGGTATGTAGGCCTAAGGTGTTAACTGATTTACCATCCAGCTATACACCCATAGTCTTTCACACCAGCTCAATGCTGGTGCACTAGATTTAACACCTGCAACATCATGGTTATAAAATCATAGAATGCTCCAAGGTGGAAGGGACCTACAAGGAGCATAGAGTCCAACCCGCCTCCACACAGCACCACCCCAAATCCAATCCCAATGCCTGAGAGCGCCGTCCAAACGCTCCCTGAGCTCCAGCACCTCAAGGCCGTGCCCACCGCCCTGGGCAGCTGTTCCATGCCCACCGCCCTCTGGCGCAGCCCCTTTCCCTCACCCCCAGCCGCCCTCCCCTGACGCAGCTCCATGCCTTCCCTGTCGCTGTCACACAGAGCAGAGCTCAGCGCTGCCCTCCGCTCCCTGTGAGGAGCTGCAGTCGCCATCAGGCCTCCCCTCAGCCTGCCCAGCTCTGGGCTGAGCACATCAGGGGCCTCAGCTG